CAAGGCTCCGTGTTGAAGGACGTATTTTGACCTATAATAGTTAACTTTTTATACATTGTGACTTGGATTGAGAGTTGTCTCATAGGCACTCATACCACATCTTCTTATTTATATTAAAGCAGTGTACGGATTTAGTGTAAATATTCCATAAACAGTCTGAGAAACGCATGACCTTGTGCAATGCCGAAATATAAATATTAAAGCATTGATGTCATAGATTTTAACGAACGTAATCAATGCATCACTGGTAAATTATTAAGTCAGGAATTTCGTTACCATGAATTACTCAAAACATTTACTAAATTCTTTCATAGATACAAAAATGTGATAAGTAAATTTGGCTGTACCTCGACCCTTTAAACAAACTTATTAGTAAAGGTTATCTTATTAATGTTGTAATAAGATCTTATGAATATTGATTACATTGGCACTAACATCGATTTTGTCATCAACAAATTAAAACATAACTAAATTTGTATTCTTTTCGAATGGTTTTGGGATATATAAATACACATCCACTTTAATTTTCTATTTAGAGATTGCTTTATCTATATATAACATGATACATATTAATTTTATTATAAGGTTAAATCCTAACGATCCTACTGCCGGTCGATACTTTTATTTTGGCATTGCTCAAGTCATGTCTTATTTGACTGTCTATGGCGTTAAAACACTAAATCCCTTGGATGTGTTTTAATTGATTTTAGTCTCTGATGCATTTTTATTTGTTAATTGGTTTTGGCTTTTAACTAGCTTTCAGTAATGCGAGTACTCTCAAATCGTACTTTCGTGTTAATTTGACCTGTTGACACAATTTGTAATGCATTTCTGTAATTCAATGTTTTATTATTTTGTGTTATATCTCCTCTCACTAATTTTAATATGTACCATCTTTGATTAGTATTTAGTATGACGATAAATTTTCACTTCTGTACTAGTACTCTGAACATGCTGAACAACAAATTTGTTAATCTTAAAAAAAAATGTTTACTTCCGTACTCCTTACAACAACATTATTGTATTTAAATTTACCTGTGTACGTTGTTTTATTTAACGCCATTTTGTCCCAGGTAAGAGTTGTCTTATTGACACTCTTCCTTCATCGTTTTTATTACTACCTGCAACGTCTATATTATATAGGCACCTACGTTTTAATATTGTATTGATATTGTGTCATAGATCATACTTATTCGTTCAGTGTATGTTAACTTGTTTTTGTTTAAATGTTTTTTTGATCGAGTTAAGCCATTTCAATTGATATTTTATAGTGTGTCTTTTTATGTTGTAATGTTCCACTACTGTCTCAGGTAAGGGTGAAGGTTGGCGCCTGTTAAAACGTTTCAACCCGCTGCATATTTATGCACCTGTTCTTAGTCAGGAGCCTGTTGTTCGGTGGTTTTCGTTTGTTGGTGTGGTTCATAGGTGTTTCTCGTTTCTCGTTTTTTATATAGATTAAACTGTTGGTTTTCCTGTTTGAATTGTTTTACACTAGTTATTTTGGTGCCCTTTATAGCTTGCTGTTCGGTGTGAACCAAGGCTCCGTGTTGAAGGACGTACTTTGACCTATAATAGTTAACTTTTTTATACATTGTGACTTGGATGGAGAGTTGTCTCAATCGCAGTCATACCACATCTTTTTATTTATATTAAAGCAGTATAGACCGGATGTAGGATAAGCCTCTTTTTGCATTATACCTTAGGATAGGGATTTATTTAAGAACTCCAAAGACCAAGGTGGGACAAGTTAAAAAAGTTTTACACCATTGTGTAGCATCACCACCGGATATAGGTACATCCGAGCGGTGGAAAACATATGTTCACAAATGTGAAGTAAGGTAAGGTCTAATTCTTCTTATTTTAATTATAATAATAATTATAATTATATTTAGTTTTGTGAAACTGATTTCTGATAATGTAGCTACTATTTAGGGCTGATTATGATCCTTAATTGACTTTCTCTCTCTTCAAATCGCCAGAATCGAACCTGCTGGTACCTGTTCAAAGAAGCATGTGACTAGTTCAAACTTGTTTAAAACACATTTATCCTTCAACGATATTCATTTGACGCTTTTGGAGAACAAAATTATATCATACTTTAGCTTGAACAACAGTGACTGTGTAGACTCATCAGTTTGGGCGTAATTAACTCTGAGTAGGGTTCTATATGGTTTTATTATAGGCAATCTCAAATAAATACCCTGTGACATATAAAACACACAATATGACACAATATACAAGTACTAAGAACGATAACTCTAGTTATCTCCATGTCAATAAAATCAAATATAAATTATCCAAGTAGTTAACTTCAGTTTGAAATATACCATATTTAATAAAATACGTTTTACTACAAATCATAAGTATCTGTACCAAAGTCTATATCCGGTAACTGATCAAATTGCAATATTACAAATATCAGTAACACCTTGTGTCAACAATCATTATTTAAACTAACAATTGTAATACACTATTGTATTTGGAGATAACCGTAAACTAAACAACACATTACAATCACAGACAAGTCAATTAAAACACACAAGTACAAATAGACAACACGTAGATAAATTAACATGTAAACACAGAACACAGTGTTCAAGGACATAAACACATGCGTTGAATGCACCTTCGGGGAATAGCAGTACACCAGCAGCGGTACCGACCTAGTGGTAGTATTTCAACCTTATCATACTGATTGTAGCACTCAAGATAAACTAAAATTTACAATAAACATGCTCTCTACTTGGATATAATTGGAACTGAAAAACATATTCAAAGATAATCTAAAAATTGAAAAATTGATTGATTGATTGTTGTTTGTTTATTTAAGTCCCGAGGCAAATATTTCATACATATTTAATGTATGACGAAATTAGAAATTTAAAAATTAAGAATGATGAAAAAGGTAACATATAGTTGATCTTTAAGATAAGTAAGTTTTTGTTATTGAATTCTAAAAGTAGACACTAGCATAAAAGGCCTTAAACCCAAAATATGTGGATAAACTATGAAACATCAAATATAGGACGTGTTGCTGTCTCTGATATATACGTAGCGATATTTTTTAACATTGTCATATAAGCGGGAGGTTTTGCTAGCCATAAAACCAGGTTCTACCCACCATTTTTTCTTAAAATGTCTTGTAGTCAGGAATATCGCAGTTGTTATCAAATAGTTCGTTTCTATGTATGTAGGCGTTTGTTTTTGTTGCACTTCAGTGTTCCTGTTGTTCCTTTGTTTTCTTCTTATAGTTGATGTGTTTCCCTCGGTTTTAGTCTGTAACCCGGATTTGTTTTCTCTCAATCGATTTGTGACTTTTGAACAACGGTATACTACTGGACCTCATTTCTCCTTTTATGCATAATTTTCCTCGAATTTTAATTACACCTGAGATCAGCTTCGGGGCACTGGCATGATTTATAACATACATGTACCTTTCATAAATTCTCCGTTTAATATCAATAAATCTAGATCATAAATTCCTCAGGCAAAGTTGACCTTAAATAGATTTGACTATTCTTTTATGGTCTCCTTTGGTGAAACAGCTCTCTAAGTATTTAAACATTCTTGGCTTTCGATATTTTATGTTTTAGCGTTCGATAGGAAGTAAATCCAGCTGAGCGTTTCGAATGCACAAAGTATTATTTGTATTTACAAAGCATCATCACATAATCTGTAGAGAATACACTTTTATTTTGTATCTCTGACTTTAAATATTTCGATTGCAGGACGAATGTGTTATGGATACATTTGAAAAAGTATATAATGAAATGAAAAAAAAAGAGATTCATTTAAAGCCATCTATGGATATGTTTGGAACACAAATCGCGAAGGAATTTCACAAACTGATGTAAACAAAGATGAAAAGGGTCTCATTGACGAGGACCCATTACTTGTCTTATTTGAATATGCCTCACTGCAAAACTTTCGTCTTTTGGACATGTTTACCATATAAAACACAGATAAAAGTGGATCTCTTGATAACAAAGAAATAAACATTCCACTTTTCCATTGTCTATTCTACTTTATAAATCCTGCGTCCGAAGCGCTTTTATGGACAACATGATAATTGTGTTTCTATAATTTATTGAAATTTGAAATTTGAAATTAACATAATTGATTTAAACCATGCCATAGAAAACATTATACATAAGAAAACTAGCAATACCTGTTTCACGTATGTGATAAAACGCATGTATAACGTATGTTTCTTACCATGGATGAAACACCTACGTCAAAATGCGAATCTTTTTAAGTACAGTAAACATTCGTTAAACATGCTTAAAACGTATGTTTTACTTAATTGACGTTGTATTGAGACATCATGGTTTCAGCACCAAATTCATTGGACGTCTGTTGACATCAATATAATGTATCGTTTTTGTTATCAAATTTTCGTTCGTAAACCACAGGTGTAAACGTACTTTTAAAATGTTTAACACAGGAAAAAAATGACCGTTGCAAAAGTATGTAAAAGTACTTTTTTCATATGTTAGACATCTAATTTCAAATGCACATTTCCTAGGTATAATAAGAAACCCAAGTCTTACGTATGTTCGACAGAAACACCTGAAAGTGTAAATAATCATTTTTAGTTTTGGTGCGTCCGAAATGCTCTTCTGGATTTATTTTCATCAGGGACGCTACAATAGCACAATCTGAAAGCCGCTGTATGTATATTTAAATACTTGAAGGGCTGTATGATCAAAAGGGACATGAAAAGAATAACCAATTATAACTAAGGTAAACTTTACTTTAAGGTTACTATTAGTAAACAAATTGATTTAAATATATGTTAAATAAATTTCTGAATGTATTATTTTAGGGAACTAATTTCAACTCACAAGTTGCACAAAGAAAAATTAAGGGGGTTTATGAGAGCTGAAGTTGATTTGGAGAACACAAAAATAGGAAGAATCGACCGGAAGATAAGAATGGTCATGAGCAGACGACATTAAATGAAAAAGAAGAAACACAAATGAAAGATCTTCTCACAGTTTTAACAAAAGCAGCTAGACCTTTGGAAGAAAAGGTTACTAAGGATCTGAAATATACTTTACAAAAAGGCTTTCCTAAAATTTCTGAATGTATTATTTTAGGGAACTAATTTCAACTCACAAGTTGCACAAAGAAAAATTAAGGGGGTTTATGATAAGTCTTATGAATTTCCTTCCAGATATAAAGCAATGAATGTCATTAGTTTCTCAAACAGATGCAGAAGGGAACAACAGCCAACCAGTAGAAACACCAGAAGAAAGCAACCAATCAGGAGCCACATAAAAAAAACAATAATCATTTTAGAAATTTATAAGTGATAAATTAAACTTCTCTGTCGTAAAAACGACACAAATGAAAATACACAAAATTAAAAGAGTACATGATACAGTGTCCTGGGATGACAATAAACAGGGGCAAGGTTGACCATAACCCTCAACATATGGCCGGGGCTTCTAAACGTTTCTGCATTTTAAGTTAATTAGATTAAATTAGAATACTACATGAAAATTTCTGAGCAAAAATCCGTTTAAGCTGTTTTTGATTATATATGCTGGTTCACAGAAGGTGAGATAAAGAGCAAGCATGAACAATTGATATTAAATACTTAATTTGAAAACAGGATCAATTCATTATTGACAATCAACAAAACATGTTTAATTAAGTTATATCGAGGGTTCAATTATTTTATGTTTGTTCTTTGTTCTGACTACTGTCAACAGATAAAAGAAATATTTATGATGTATGGATATGCTTACCCTTCCGGAGAACCTGAGATCATCCTCGGTTTATGGTTGGGTTCGTGTTGCTCAGTCTTTAGTTTTCCATGTTGTGTTTATGTGCTGTTGTTTCTCTTTTGGTGAGTGACCTCGATGGCCGAATTGTCTACGAAGTCAAACTACTTTATCACTAGCCTGTTAACACTGAGATTGTGTGTTCGATTCCCACACGCGGCAGATGCGCTCGACTCCAATTTTAATTGACTAGGATTGTCAGTTTTCCTACCGAATGCTTCCTCCATCAATAAAAACTAACCGCGAAATAGCACAATACTCTTGAAAGTGGCATTTATACATCAAACAATCAATCTATTCTCTTTTGGTCGTTGTTAGTTCGTGTTCAATTTATGAGTTTGTTCATCCCTTTGGTATCTTTCGACTCTCTTTTTACTGTAGCAGAACAAACTGTCTGACATTGGTGCATGATATTGTGGTCTACAAATTACGGATTATTATCATAAAAACACTGAAACCATTGTATATCATTGATGGTGTAATTTTTACACTTTATTTGAATTCGTAAATAAAAATATTTTAAAAATCAACAAAACTCTTACATATACTCATAAAACATAACTCTGTCAGATTTAATGATTTTCAGTTGTGAATTTTGTCTTACATATTTGCATTTAGGGATCAAAACCATTGCATTAAGCGCAAAACAGCAAAACTGCCAAAATAGGTTTATTTTGAGATATTGTCATTTAAATTTAGATAGGAGGCAACACTTTATCCAAAAAGGTATTTTGCTACAAGATGTTGAAACAGGATCATCCCCCTGAGTTGTCAGTGCTTCGGTTCGGAAAAGATTTATATCATACTTATCTTTACTTCCAGTTGGTAAATGAAATAAACATTATTTAAATGTATTGCGTCTACAGGGATGTCCTTTATTTACCTTCACCAGAAACGCTCAAACTTAAAACATTCTAAAGCCATGGATTCGTAAATACGTAGCAGCGTTATGAGCTATATAATAAAAAGGACCTAAACAGAATAGCAAATCATACGAGATGAACTTTGCCTGATGGAGTTAGTCTCTTTAAAATTCCTTTATCTATGAACGGGATTTTTAATTAAGTTTATTTTTAAATATTGTCAGTATCCGATTGCTGATCTGACGATACCCTTTGAGACTAACAGTGCACCAGGAGCGGTAACGGCCCAGTGTAATTAAATGAAATAAATACTTGATACATTTCGCGGGTCTTAGAGCTTTCCTTTCATCAGGAACGCTAATACATAAACATATGAAAGCCAGGGATGCATTGTTGGAAGCTATATGATAAAAAAGGACCTAAACCGAATAGCCCAAATCATCTCTGATCAACTTTGTCTGAGGGAGTTGGAACCTTTGTTTCTTAGTAATTTGTTAATTTATGAACGGGGATAAAACAAGAGAAAAAAAGGAGGAAATCAAAAATCCCAGTCAAACAAAAACAGACTATCATTAATTAATGAGGATAAACCAAATAACAGCTGTAAAACATCTTCAGTTATGACAGTACATTGGTAAAATGTTTCCATTTGGTCAGATTTTATTGGTTTACATCACCTTTGTAGTAATTCAAATTCAAAATGTTATTCCTCTCAATGAACCCATTTTTCCAATTCTGTGCAGAGCTTTGATTAATAAAAGCAGAGTTGGTTTTGGTTGCTGCTTCTTACTCCAGATCTGCAAAATCTCTTTAGTCTGTTCAAGCAGTTTGTTTTTATGTTTATACTGTATTTGTTGAATGGTAGATGCATCTACATCCAGTTCTAAGGCAAGTTGCATGGTGCTATTTCCAATACGATTCGATAAATCTAAAAGTACAATGGGCGACGGAGTGCTGTTTAAAGTATCTTCTAGTATCTCTGAAACAATGAACCATTAGTAATTTTGATGTTTTTTAAGCAGATCAAAAATTAAAAAGCATAGTATGTGAAACTTTTATTAAAGAGACATTTTTAATGCAGGAACCTTTGAAATAATTAGGAGGATTTTTTTTGCGGGTTGACTTTTCACATTCATCTGTTGCTAAGCATGCTTATTTTCAGTTTTGTACACAATTATTTTCTGTATTTTGCGTTGCAGAATATTCATATTCAAACTCGTCAGTTACAAGGTTATATCTGTTCAGCTCTGACCAGGCCAGGATATAAATTTTCAAAAATCTCCTAGTCCGTCTGAAAATCAAATGAGTCGTGTGGAAGGTGGATAATGGTGTTAAAATGTATATACTTCACTACACCATAATGTTTTTCTGTCTTTCTTGTTTGTCCCATTTGTATCCTCTTACCGTTTGTTTGACTAGAAATTGGCCTCGGGCGCACCTCATGACGTTTTTCAAGAAACACGAAAATCAATCATACTATTTTTGTTTAGATTTATGGCATATCCCTTTAGTATCTTTCGAGTTCGGATTAAGGATAGGGTTATGTGTTAGGTAAGTGAACAAACTAGATTTGAGTTCACGGAAACCCTTTGTCACTCAAAAGAGTCTAGGTTTATTGGAATTGTACAAAAAATTGGTCTACTATTCAATAATATATTCACTGAAAAAGTGAAAAACTCTAATGACGCTATTAGCTTTTTGTTTTACCATACCATCATAGAGAATGAATTGAAGCCGTGAACGTATCAACTGTCCATTTGATTGATCTTGGGACTGGACGTAACTGTTTGATTACAGACATACATCAAGGCCACATTTATGTGTAAGAAGTATAGGATGATGTAAATATATAAAATGTACCTGATACATCTGGTTTCACATCTCTAAGTACCTAAAATGAACAGAGATATTCATAAAAATCACCAAAGATACCAGACTTATAATTTTGTACGCAAGACATTGGCTTTCGTAAACATACGACTTATCAGTAGCACTCGAATCAAAATATTAGGAAGAACATATAATAAAAAATAATAAAAAAATATTCCAATAATTTGCGCCATAACTGGCTGAGGCTATCTTAGCCTATGAGCAGCAAAAAACCTTGAACGAATAATTAACTTTGTTTATTTGTTTATTTGTAATGATACCAGTAAATGCTGGTTGAGTTTGTTTACATGTCTTGTTTTGTTATAGTCTCATTGATGTATACCCAACATATTTTGCTTATTCTTAATTGTTTGTTGGTGTAGTTCATATCAGGTTTTCCGAGTTACCTGTATAGTTGTACCATACTGATAAAGTGAAGGATATTAGATGTGAATTTCCAAAGATGATTAGCTAAAGAAGTGATATTCATGGTCACATTTTTTAAATGTTGATAAGTGAAAGGTTTTTGCTGTTTTACACTTAATGCTATGGTTCTTACCTTACAAAGGAGATGACTAGTGAGTTCTAGTATCTCCAAGACGCGAACAAGCGTGCTAAATGTAAAGTCTCTACTTTTTTCCGTGCAAGACTGCACTGCAACAAATTTGAAATCATCTGAAATTTGATTCTGAAATTGGGTTTCAAAATTTTCCCATTCATGAACTTTTAGTCCGAGTTCGATTGCAAGTTCTCGACACTTCCCCGGAGAAAGCTCTCCAACCAGTCTTCGCAGGTGTTTGTCCGATGGACATTGTTCTAGTGACATTGTTCCAAGTCCTAAGTTGTAAGATTTGTAAATACGTTTAACATTTTAACATATACACACACACACGCATACACATACTATATATACTTATATTTTATAATGAAATGATCACATTCTGTGCTATTATAATATTTCAGATTTAGATTCTTGTGATTCCATTATTAAGAAATCATTATACACAAAACCAGTTAAAACGGGACGTTGAACGTTCATTAGTTAATAACGATCCCGCCTGAAACTGTATAAGCAAACCAGTTTTGATTCCGTTTATTTATTTTTATTTCATCAAGTCTCTGATATAATATTTGAAACGATAAAACATTTCTAATATAATCAAAAACAAACAATCTCTCTCTTTCTCTCTCCCATGCATTACTGAACATTTTTAAATATAAAAGGGGTTCGTTCTGAGTCGATTCAAGCTATAAATACATGTAAAATGAAAATAGATATTTACAAAACTGCACATTTGAATCATTATTCTGTGCTTAATTTTGTATATTTTGTTAATAACAAGTATTGAGATACATATTTCTTTCCTTCTCTTTCGTAATAAATTGCAGTAGTCGCAGTTAGGATTTTTTATTTCTGACAATTAAAAACTTCCTTATATTCTTTCAAATGAAATCGCTAAAATGATAACAAAGTTTGAATACCCAAATTCCAAGTTTGAAAAGATTACATGTTTTGTTAGCCTAATTCAAGAATTTAGCATGTTTAGGTAATGGTGTTTTTGATAATACCCTTCTTTTTGTGCTGTGAAGAATATGGTGTCGATGTCTGATCTGTAATACAGACTGAGACTGTGCAAACTCGATTCTTAGCAAGGCTAACCGTTTGTTTACTTCTTAATGCCTAACGTATAAATAGTTATATGTAAACACCATAATATCGGGCATATGGTATGTTACTGCTGATAGATGGGATGTTAAATACTAGTACTTGAAAGTTGAATAATAACATTTGTCATAGATCCTAGTTTGAAGTTATGTATCTGTGTCAATATCGAGGAAAATATATGTAACAGACCTTCTACAAAAATCTGACCTGAGTATGTAAATTATTCAGAATTATAGAATTGAAATGACTCCTGCATTTACCCTCTCTTTACGGCTTAAGCTTTTATGAAGGGTGCCTGTGAAGGCCAGTTTTGTCAATAAAGTTACCTTTGCAAGTGTTGAGACAATCATCTGAAGGTTCCTGGAATAGAGAAATATAAACTCATGATAAATATTGTTTTTGTTAGAATATACCATGACGTTAGTTTTGTAATATCCACTGTATGAAGTTGTTAATGTTGTTTGATATCTAGTTCTATTTCAAGCCTGTTGTTTGGTATTTTTTTGTTCGGCCATTAAGTTCTTTGTCTTGCATTGGAAGTTTTTGTATTAATCCCCTTAGCTTTCATATTATTCATTTATTCACTTCAATTATCAATTAATTACAATCTTCATTAAAGTGCCGCGTGCTTACACATTTGTTGTCATTATTTCTATCACAAAACATACTTTTTATGCTAATATAGTTTTGGAATATAACTTAGAAATCACGTTTAGTAAAACTTCACTACAACTTTATTACAAGTTAACCAATTGATTAATTGTCAATCTGGAAATGAATGCACCTTTTTGTAATGTAACAAATATATCTATCAAATGTTCCATATGACATTTGATTGTTTATCTATTAAAGAAGAATAGACAAGAACATACAGTTTTACCTTTTTTCACTTTTTATTTTAATTTATTTGTTCATATGTAGTCCGTTCATATCAAATATAAAAGAAATACCCAATAAGTATGATAATTGTTTTGATTTCCTGATCATATTTGATTTTCTCCCTTTTTGAATACAAATGCAAGAAATGTGTCTATCTACCTTTTCCGAAAACCAAGCTTGAAGGTATCCAACTTCGTTATTCTTTCTGTGCTGACTACAAAACCACGGCGAGTTTAGACGTATTTCTTTGTGATGAAAATAACATATATCTGACTTGCAAAATACACCAAATTCAATTTCAAATGGCATTGGCTGATGTTCCGAACTGTTTTGAGCATCTGACAAGGTAGAGTAAAATTCGCAAATTCCATGCATTGCCGTGGTAAGACATTCTTGAATAGAAGAAGCTAGAGTTGTAATAATGTTCTTCTTGTTCACAGCATGTACAAGTGATACCACAACTCTGTTGCCTTTCACCTGAAGAACAATATCGTGACTGTTGTCAACTTCAACCACATAAAGATCACTGAAAAGCATTTGTGTGTTTACTCTATTACTCTCTATACATGTATATTTCTTTATATGCCACATAGTAACGAGGGAACCGAGAAATCGATATGACAATGCTGGCGGTATTACTTCTTCGATAAAGTTATAGGCCATGACAATTGAATTATTACAATTCCGCAACTTTTCCAAATACTTTGTGTCGTTTGTTTTGGTTATCATACAGGGAACAAGGAAACGTGAAACATCTCTCAACGGGTTACTAGAAAGTGTATAGCTAGTTCTAGGGGCAATGATTACATCTAGATGTACTAACAGATCGACCATGTAATCCTTGTATTCTAAAATATGCCTGAACTCCTCTTGTGTCCACAAGTAATATATATCCTCCTTATCAATGAATCCAGTTGTTTGGAGGTTTTTTAAAATTCTAGGGAAACACTCTCTTTTAGGCCAAAACTGCTTTGCAGTCACTAATGATGTCAAAACTCCCACTAAATAGACTGGTGATATGATGACATAGTCACGGAGGTTTTTTACATTGAAGTACAGCAGTTTTCCAATTGAATGTTGAACTTCCAGAAATGTTTCAATTTGCTGTTCTGATAATACCATTGATTCATTCTTAGAATTTAATGATCTAAGTTGCTCCCGAGTTATGACATTGATACCTTCTTCAGCTTTCCTTATCAACTGCAGATCTAATGGAATCCATGCTGTTGGCATTTCTTCACCCCAGCGTGGATGCTCAGTTGCTTTTTTCATAAGTTGGTGTTGAAGTTCGATAATTTCTGGGTCTTCAGGATTTAAGGAATTAATGAACAGTAGCGGCCTAAATTCTAAATGCCTCAAGCCGGCATGCGATTTAAATAGCGTTTGTATTTCGTCTTCAATCTTTCGTCTGTATGATTCGAATCTCCACTGAAATAAAAGAAGAAGAATAAGGAATTAGTTTGTAAGTAAATAATCCAATTACATTTTAAAGGTAAAATATACATTTGGTAAACAGTATAAATTTTGGTGAGCAGTACTGACATTCTTATCTTTTTATATTGAGTTTGATACAAAAAACGATCGCAAAATATAGCAAATCAAAAAGAGAATTAAGCAAATGTAAAATCAAGATAGATTATGCTGAATTATCATTGGACTGATTTGCAGGATGTTTTTGAATGTACAAAAATAATCCCGAAACTTTTAAATCCTGATAATACTTTTGAATAAATTGCACGTGTTATCTCATATAGTCTTATACCGTCCAAGAACCGCCTTGGTGGTTTCGTGGTAGCGTGTGCGCATATAGTGTGGGAAGTTGAAAGTCGAAGGTTCAAACACTTGACCGGGTCAAACTAAAGACTATGAATAGGTATTTGCTTCTTCTCCGCTGACCAGTTCAAACTGTTCATAACGTTAAAGGATTTGTACAACGGCATATCACACAAATAAAAAGAAATTATTATAAAGAGGTGCTTCCCTGTAGATTGCGATTAGACAAAGTGGATGCTTAATGTATGTTAGTAGGTGGGTGCGATACTTTTAATATCAAAACGTTTAAACATCTCTGTATCAATCATTCAGGGTTAACATGCATTATCATTGATATGGTCATAGTTATGATTAAACTGTTTACAAAACAATGAGTTTTTTCAAAATACCATAGATTTTCTTCCCCAGGAATAGATTACCTTAGCTTTATTTGGCAAAACTTTTCGGACTTTGGGTCCTCAATGCTCTTCACATTCGTAGTGTATTTGGCCTTTTTAACTTTTTTGATTCGAGCGTCACAGATGAGTCTTTTGTAGACAGAGGCGTAAAACATTTCAATCCTGGTGCCTATGATGAGTTTGTTCACACAATATAAAATCCACACTGTATTGGAAAGCCTTTTTTTTTTAATTAAAAGGTCACAATCATAAAATGTCCATTATCACAGCTTTCACTGTTTTAAAAGATGTCTATACCGGGTTTGTACTTACATGAGCAACACGGCGGGTGCCACATGTGGAGCAGAATCTGCTTACCCTTTCGGAGTTCCTGCGGTTTTGGTGGGATTTGTGTTGCTCATCCTTTAGTTTTCCATGTTGTGTGCTGTATACCGTTATTTGTCTTCAGGTCTTTTTCTGTTTTTGCCATGGCTTTGGCAGTTTATTTTCGACTTATGAGTTTGAATGTACCATTGGTATCTTTCGGTTCTCCACTATTAGACACTGAGTTGTATTTACCTTCCATACCCACGATACCATATCCTTGTGAGTAGCAACAAATATGATTTTAGGAAAACCTTCTTTCGATCGTTTACAGAACGTCAATATGGAATTCACCCAGTGTAAAAGGTAAACTGAAATAAAAAAAAAATATATAAGAGTATCAATACAATAAACCAACTTATTTTCCTGGATATTTTAGTTCGCGGTTCAATCCTTTCTCGAGACTCGACTTCGCTGCGATGTTTTAATTGCCAACCATTTATACATATTGTCTTTTTGTTCTGATTTATCTGTGATTCTGTGTCTGTGCCATGATATGAATTTTTGTTAATACGGTAAAACAGCAAAGGGAAAGCTTAGGTACCATCCTGCACTTAACCGGGACTCTGGTTAAAAAATGAAAACAAGACTAAATTACCATGGTCAAAAATACAAAAAACGAAAATAACTAAAGATTGAACAACATAAACCCCACCAAAAGCTGGGGGTCAACTCAGAGGCTCAGAAAGAGTAATTTCAACCTCAACATGTTGCACCCATTCATGCTGCTAATGCAAGTAAAAAAATCGTTAATAAATCGGTTTCGGTAATGTCAGGATTGAGTGTTAATATGGTAGATATATATAAGAGGAGTCTCATTTTTCACAATGCATCGACTTAGATAGTGTGTTAAATAATTACGATACGCCATCTACGAGGACACTGAGACTATGAAACGTGACGTAAAAGTTTCTGTATCAATCTTACTGACGTCTTCTCTAATACATACATAAATAAAAACACGAATGAATATTAAAATTGAGAATGGAAATGGGGACATTAACAAAGTATTTTTTATAAGCATGAAGATATAAGATAAATTACATAGAAATTTGAAGAATCGAATCAATGGATTTTTTCAAGTATATATATCCGAATCCAATGATACGTTTCCGATAACAACAGTCAATCATAAACATCATTCGATTATCGTATCCCTAAGAGCATTAATTCAATCATGTTCAAGATTTTCACAGTCGGGTTTAGCGTAAAAAATAAAACAACAAAATACCGAACTCCAAGGAAAATTCAAATCGGAAAGTCCCTTATCAAATGGCAAAATCAAAAGCTCAAATACACCAAACAAATGGGAAAAAACTGTCATATTCCTGACTTGGTACAGGCATGTCCTTATGTGGAAAATGGTGATTTAACCTGGTTTTATAGCTAGATAGACGTCTCGCTTGTATGACATTCGCATAAAATTCCAATAAAAATAATCGTTTATTCATTTGGTGATGTTTTCAGATTAAATAAGAGTAAAATACCAATCCACTATTTTGTGATGCATAATCACTTGATATAACTTATCAACGTATGGTCATAGGAGTAACACAACTGTTGTCGCTTATGGAGCTTGATCTGCTTACCCTTCCGGAACATCTGAGATCACACTCGATTTCTGATTGGGCTCGTGTTCCTTAGTTTTTAGTTCTCTATGTTGTGTTTTGTATAATGTTATTTGTTTTCTGGTCCTTTTTCATTTATTTTCGCGATAGCATTGTCAGTTTGTTTTCGACTAATAAGTTTGAAAGTCCCTTTAGTATCTTTCGTCTCTTTTTTATTGAAAACCTAAATAAAGCTTTTCCAGAATTCCTGATTATTACCTGCCACTGTTGGTTTCCCAAAGTGTCCCGGTAGAGACCCAAGGTCGGGTTGGTGTTTGTGTATTCCAATACTTCCGTTGAACATCAGGATAAAGATACCTCTGCTGGTAATGAACAATTGGTGAGTCATATGATAATCTTTCTGACCCCCAAAGTCCCAAATATCTATTGGTACTATCTTCTGTTTGTATTTCCCTTCTTTGACTGCTTTGATCATTAACTCATGTATTTTGTCTTTAGACATGTCGCTTGAAATATCCTTCATCCATTCGCTGTCAAAATTTCCTGAGGTTACCTTGAGTGTTTCTGTTGAGCTTCGATTTCTCTCTTTAATTATAGGCACTTCTTGGATAAGTTTTTTCATACTGGAATCAAAACTAAATGCAGCTTTTTTCTCATCATTGGAAGAGCTTTGAGGACAGACAACTTCCGGCTGATTATCGGTACCACATTCGTCTTGATTGACATCTAATGAGAAAGCGGAATTTATATTCTTTTCAAATTGTTGAACATCCATGCATTTGCCTTTGAATGAAACCATATCTTCAGGTTTATCTGTAATTCCTCTCTCTGATAGCTTATGAGATGATGCATTGGACATGCCCGCCTCTGCACTCACTAATGAACTTTTGTTAGGTCCTTCATCTACATTTATTCCTTGATATTTGCATTTTTGTTTGGTTTCCAAAGGCCTTTGTTTTGTTTCGACATTTGTAGTGTTGACACGTGTTTGGGCTGAGACCTCGGCACTTGATAGTGACATCAGCATAGTGGTCAGTATCTCAGTTGCCGCGTTACCTTTAATACAATACATTAATAAGTTAATTAAAGGCAACAGTAGTATACCGGTTTTCAAAAGTCATAAATCGATTGAGAGAAAACAAATCTGGGTTACAAACTAAACCGCGGGAAACACATCAACTATAAGATGAAAACAAAGGAACAACAGAAACACTGAAGTGCAACAAAAACAAACGCCTACATACATAGAAACGAACTATTTGATAACAACTGCCATATTCCTGACTTGGTGCAGGATATTTTAAGAAAAAATGGTGGGTTGAACCTGGTTTTATGGCTAGCCAAACCTCCCGCGTATATGACAATGTTAAAAAATGTCGCTAAAATGACAACACTACGTGACAGAAATATAGCATAAACACACGCAAGAACACTTATTTAAATGTTTGAAATTAATAAGCACTAATATATACTACCATGGATAATGAATGATCACTCATAAAAAAGATCAACAAGAATACCGAAATCGAAGGTAAATTCAAAAGGGGGAAGACCATAAAAGCTACCAAAATCAAACGGTTGACTATACCAACGAATGGAACAAATAGTTAAAACACTGGCATATCCCTGACTTAGTACAGGACTTTTCGTGGAAAATGAAGAGTTTTACCTTGTTACACAAGATTTAATCTGCAGCAAAGCTTTGTATTTCAAATTAATTTACCAATCATTATGGTGTAGATATTAACATCGAGAAAGAATAAAAATGTCACGATGATGGCATCATGTTTAAAAATATATACATACCTTTTTCAAAATATATCCATTTCATTTCATCAACATCCATACCAGCTTTTCCCATGCAGATCCATATGCCATCAGTGGACTCTTTTGATTCTGGAACTTGCTCACCAACGAGAACTTTTGCTAAACAACTTTTCCCAACAGAATATGGACCTACCAAATATATTCTATTCCAATAACTCTTAAATGAGCTATCAAGTAGTAGATCTTGTAAATCAGAAGCTGTTTCTAGCCCTAACCCCCTCAGCTGTTGCAGAAGCTCATCTGGAAAGGCATATATGATGTGTGAATAAAGACTCCTATATTTCTATTAAATACACAGAAAGTTCCTTTAACATTGTTTAACATAGACACGCTTCATGCTCATCCGTAACCAACTCATTTGTTAATATTAAAAAGTGTTACGGTGTTAAAGGGGCACTAGCTACGAGATATTTAAAATATGATTTTTTTTGCACAATCATTAATGAAAGTGAAATAGTGAAATGATAATTCGCTTTTAGCAGCCAGTATGGTTCAATTTTGTCAAAATAAGTTAAGCGACATCGATGATGAATTATTCACTTGCAAGTGAATAATCTGACCTCATTGAATCCGTATTCATGTGACCTTCAATTAAACTCCTTAGCTAGAGATGGATTACGCATGAATTATGCGTGCTCAGTTATTAAAAGGAAAAGAATGTCAACATTGAAAGTGACACAAAGGTAAATTATTTGATTGACTGAATCGATCCACAAAAACTCATTCTTATACAGGTAAAAACGATGATTAACATATATTTTAACCTATAAAATGAAATAAGACAGACCTAGAAAAATCCAATTGGACAAGTTCGTTATCTATTTATATCTATATCTATGTTTATATTGCTAATATGACCGTCGACAGTCTTCGGAGTTCAACTCGATAGTTATTTAGATGGTGTCTAGACTAAAATACGCACGAAACAATGATACATATTATCGAGCCTATGCCTTGTAAATTGTTTATTTTAGACTTTTTATAATTTGAAATAACGTTTTATTATGTTATAAATCAAATATGAGAATCAGAGTCAAATCGGTGACCATGAATTTGACAGCCAATGCCCCTTTACGAGAAAAATATATTTTGGCGAACAGACGCAAAACAATCAGAGATTGTGCAAGTGAATAAGGCTTTGTTGATTTCATTTAAACTTGAAACACAGATTTATTAGTAAATGACAAACATACTACTTTCCGAAAGCTAAGATTTATAGATATTCAGGCAACGGTAGCTTACCGATTTTCAAATCTTGTAAATCGATTAGAATGTGACAAATCAAAGAAACAAACATAAACTGTGAGGATCTCATAAACTCTAAAGGAGAGAGACCGGTTCCGTCGACAGAGATAGAGTTATGTAGTGTCGCTTTCAGTCGTTCTTCTCGACAACCCTGTTAATGAATATTGTGGATTCATTTATTTTAGTGGGAACCAATTTTCGTGAATTGAGGCAAACTTGCTTTTTTGTGGATATCTTATTTCGTCGTTTTGCCAAAGTCTGCTGAAATTCCTGAAGATAATTTTTAATTCCTTGGACATTGGAATTCGTGGTTCCCGGGTAACCATGAAATCCACGAAAATTGGTATCCAACGAGAAATAATGAATCCACAGTACCATATACATTTGTAATTTGAAGCACGAGCGTAACGTATTAATTGAGATATGTAAAAACCATATCCTTACCTTTCTGTATTTCTTCCTGAAAAAGAAAGAGCTGATTTGTATATCAATAAGGCGATTTGTGTTATTAATGGAAGATATTTTTTTGCACAACGAAATCTGTGCAAAATGTAAATTGATAAAAGTAAGGATATTTGAGGGGTTTACCATATCATTTCTTTTCATAACTCCCATCCTCAAAGTATTCAGCTATAGGACATATATATAACATACAGTAAAGTAAATGCACAATGCCAGTTTCTTTTCTCTCTCTCTGAAAAGCCACTAAATAAATTCTACTTCATAGAAATCAATTAACAGGTTGGGGGAATAGTTGGTTTCCTTAGGAATATGCCAATTGTTTATTGAAAAACTTGTCCTCTAAAGTTAATAAATGTGATATTTTCCAACTGATTATATCAACATTATGAACACGAAAGCTTTGCTTAAGTTTTTCCTCAAATCAGAGTGTTTTAACCATGTGATCTCTTCCCTTTATAAAGATATACTAGTAGTAGTATACCAATTTAGAGAGTCGAATGTTTTTATACTATTACATAAAGATAGGACACTTAATTGTATGTACATGTATTCTAACTGATCTTTTGTTTTTGTAGTTTCCACTTCGGATTCACCATCTCTAAAGCAGGCAGTGTCACAGTAGGTATAAAACCCCCAGGTTTGATTGCTAATGAAATACCGACCGTGCAAGGGCTGTATAGCCAGTCAAGGTCGTTAAAAACTCCCATCATCATCTAATGAAATAGACATTAATAATTTGGAAAGAGATTTTGGTGACATTTGACACACTAGTAATATAAACATTGATAAAGTTGTTTGTAAGGACATTATATAATTTTGGTTACCAGTACAGTGAAAAAAAAAAAGAAAAAGGAAGGAGGATCAAGTTCTTCATTTTGGTAAAAAAATCCAATGGAACATAAAACTGAATTATGATTGTTCATGATGTCCAGTTTTAAACTGTCTTAGGAGTTTATGTTGAGTTTTCAAGTGAATTTTCGTAATTTCTTCACCAAAGAGTTGACATATATTGTGATTCACAAAAAAAAAAACATTATTGATCTGTGTTTTGTCCACTAGGAAGTCAATATTGAGAGTCTGCAACACATGTTTGAAGTCGAAAAATTGGTCGCAATAAAAGTGGTTTAGGTAAAACAGATGATTTTTATAAAAATGTATAACCTGATTCAATCTGCTTTGTTGTATTCAAATAGTCTATCAATTTGTAAGGGAAAAACCATTAAAAAAAACAAAACATGTGCAAACAGTGGATTCGAATTAAATTGAATATTAAAGCACTAACAATTACGTTTTACACTATTTTTGACCGTACTTACATATATTGTATTCCAATTCATGACAGATTACATGTAAGAAAAATGCCCTTATTATTAGTTTTGTTGTCAATTAACCTTGATTATAAACTATATTTTTATACTATACCACTATAATAGAAAAAACAAAGGATATGGAGTATCCATTCATGACACAAAATCAGTTAGGTATTGCAGAACAACAAAAAATCACACACAAAAAGCAAAAGAACAGCGCGTTTATTGCTGTTCTTCATCTCACAGTGAGGCCTTCAACACGGAGCCAAAAAAATAATCTAGGTCTTTTTCTGAAAAAATGCAGTACCAAGGCAAGTGAGCATAGAGATGTCATCATTCTGTCTTCAAAAAAAGATGCAAGATGTTTTTATAATATGTCGAGCTCCAAATAGCCTCGAGTATCAAAATATACTAAATAAATGACAGAGACTATTAACGATTAATTGAGATATAAGAAAGTACAGCCACGAACAAGGTCAACTGATTGAGACAGGCATATGAACATTGTATACTAGTATGTTGGACTTTTAAGCCTATGAAGGTTTATGTTGCTCATTTTTAAACATGTTTTTAGTGCAGCATTTTTTTAGTCCAATAATGTTTTATTGCAATATATTTTGTAAATAATTACCTGAAGAAAGCTTTTCATTTGACTTCGTCTTCTGGTCTTAGGAAGACAACGATATGATACCAAATCTAATGCGGTTTCTCCCTTCGAAAATAAGAAATTAGTGAAATAATTTCAATAATACGGTAGGGGAATTGAAAAATGGATTCGTATTAACACCATATTAGACCGTCTCTTTTTCAGCATTTATTTTTGAAGTTCATATTTTTTTTATTCAATTTCAATTGATTTAAATTTATTGTAATTTTATCAATTTCAACGTTTTATCCTGCTTTAGTTTTTTATTCAGATGAAAGTCTTCCTTCACAATTGATGTGAGAATTTAATGCACCGTGCCAGAATACAGTTTGTTATATGTATAACTTGAAACCTCTATAAAAACTCACCACAACTGCAAGGATTATAATTATGTACGCCTGATACGCGTTTTGTCTACATACGACTAATCAATGAAATTAGAATCATAACAGTTGAAATGCCAAATCAAATACGACATGAAGAACATACAAAAATAAAAGGCCGCGATCTGAAAGATATGAAACAATTCAATTGAGAAAAACTAACGGCCTAATTTATAACAAAACAGTTTACCAAAAACAAATATGACAGACATGAACCAACGACAACCACTGAACTACAGGCTCCTGACTTGGGACAGGCACATAAGGAATGTGGCGGAGTTAAACATGTGTGTCCCCTAACCTGGGACAGTGGTGTAACAGTACAACATAAGAACAAACTATAAAAATCAGTTGAAAAGGCTTAACTCATCAGATGGATACAAATAGAAATACATCTAACAAAAACACAAAGTGGACGTGGACGGGTACTTCCAAGAACAAAAAAACAATAAGTACAGATCTGAGGAGAGTACCCGCAGTTACTGACAGCTGGTATAAAGCCAATAAATGCAAATGAAAAAAATCATGTATCTAAGACTAAAATATTTATCAGTACACATCCAACATCCAACATCCAATGGATTTAGCATTAAGACTTCATCAACAGTCAGAGAAAAACATGACCTTGTATCGACAGATTGTAGTACCAGCTGGAAAGTACATATGTGTAATATTTAGTATGCTTTAATTTACTGATAACTAAATCAATATTTACACCAATAAAAACAATATTCAGAGATTTAGTTACAGTGTTGAATAGGTAACCTTTCAGTATAAGTTTATTTTAAAAATATGTGTCTTTGGCTTGCTCGCTCAATTTTGTTTATATAACGGATTTATAAACTACTGTCGTACAATTTACTAGCAGAATTTACCTTGGAGTTCGGTATTTATGTTACATTTTTATATCCAAATATCAGAGGAAATGTTTGACAAAGAATTATGATCACTGAATTCAGACGCAAAGTGTAACGTGAAAGTATTTTGTTTTAACTATTCAGAAACGTTTTATTGAAATTTGTAAATTTGACATATTTTTTTCGAGATATAAACTTGAAGTTTACAATTGTTGGTAGTTAAATATAAGACGTTTTAATCCTGAGACAAAGAAACGAGAATAAATCAAATTTTGCGCTTAATGTCGCAAGCAATAGGTCATTGATGGCTGGACGTCAACTTGCGTCATTTGCATACTTAGGTCAGTAGTCTCGTTCATTGACGACGTGTCTTTGAACTAGCTTTATGTGGCTGCAGATACTCTTGGCTCGATTTTGTGTGTGTTCTTTTGTGTTCTTTCAACTTTTTTCTTATGTTGTGTTGTTACGCTACATGTCAGAGGAATGGTTGAGCGGTAACAAACATGTTTAAACTAGCCACAATCACTTATAATTAAGTGGTTGATGTTTGATTTCCACCATATTTGTTTTTCATCGATTATGTTAACATACATCAGGGATTGGTTTCCTATTTTGAAACTTTTTGGTTTTTTTTTGGCCTTTTAAAAATCTATACGGTATGGATTTGCTCATTACTGAAGGCAGTACGTATGATGACATATACTTGTTTACATCCTCGTCCGTCGATGTCTTATAGTTGCCATAGTCAATCATATCAAATTTCCTTTTTCATATCTATGCATTCTTAAATAAGAACATGATATTAAATGATGAAGTAATAAATGAATGAACTGTATGGATCATAACTTTCATTAAATACTTACATCAGTTGTGGATGAATCTAATTTAGCGCCTCTTTGAACAAGTATTGACACTATGTCCCTTTTAAGATGAGTAGCTGCATAATGGAGTGCTGTGTATCCCTATGGAATATCAATTATATACCCAACGTTTACCAATAGCATTTATAGTTTATTGTCCGTTAAAAGATAAGTATAGTTATATAATACTCTAAGTGATTCATTTGCACGGAACTATTGAAAGTGTTTCTATCGTCCGTTACAATTAATGGGGGCAGGAGTTATCTTTCTTACATAATTTGTCAGGATTCAACATCAGTATCTCCCGCCGATTTTATACAGATTGTGTTATAAATAAAGTTGGGAGTCTAGTTTATTAGAATATATTCTTTTGTAACGGGGACAGCATATGATATGGGACGTTTGCATAAAAAGTATCAACAAAAATACAGAACGAATGGAAAACAACTGTCTTCTTTTTATAATTTTCGGTTTTAAATGCTCTTTAACTCGATTTGGCCTTCCAAATGTTTTTTTTCAAGTACCATTAGTGAGTCTTATAAAACGAAACGCGCGTTTGGTGGCGTATCAAATTATAAGCCTGGTACCTTTGGCAAGATTTTAGTAATTGTCGGCATCGAAATTCAATAACGACTTTGTGTGGGCGGAGATTAAAACGATAAACGTAAAGATCACAATTCTGGCAGAGCGATATCTGTTGGAAAATCACATTCAATTGCAAGATAAATAAATATACATATATAAGGCATTGCGAAGAGATATATATTGCATTGCTCTTTGTTTATAAACATAGTTTTCTTGAAGAAATATAGATTCCACCACCGCAACTAGTGTGTAACGATATTTCTCCACTCGAGACAGCTAAATCTTAATATTTAAAACGCGAGGCTTGCCGAGCTTTTAAAATAATTAAAATTTAACTGTAGAGAGTGGAGAAATATCGTTATACTCGAGTTATAGTGGTGGAATATGTTTCGTTGACGACTTTTATCCTTCCTTTTCAAAGATTTGCAGAAAGTTGTGTTCTTTATAGGTGACGTCATCAGGCATGGTCGCCTTTTTTCAGGACGTCACAATAGGAAATTCAAAAGAAATCAAGAAAAATTTAACGTCATAATTAAATTTCGACCAATCATTTGCTGAGAACAGATATTTCACTAGTGAGGAGAAATATTTTTTTCACACCGCTCAAGAAATGTGAAAATAGCACAAAAATAAGAGAAAAGATATTGAAAAAACGACACAAACTAGTTAACGTATTACTCACATCTACATTTTTTGCGTTTGGATCTGCATCTTTGTCAAGTAGAATAGAAACGATTTCCTTGTGTCCAATAACTGCTGACAAAATTAGTGGTGTATTGCCCTATGCAGTAACGATACAAATTCACATTCAAATTCATATTATTTCAGTCACCTATTATTTTACTTCTGTTTTCATTATTGGATAATCATGCAAATACTGTAAACCAACTAGTTTCGCGAGCGATTTATTTTCGCGTCTTTCGCGAGTAGATAAATAACGCGAATATAAATCGCCGCGAATATGTAAAACATGGATCTCTCCTCATTAAATACATCAAGCAAATTTGAAAATCGCGAAATTAAATCGCCGCGAAAAGAGCTAGTAAGGGCTAAACGCAAAATAAAGTATCCGCGAAAATAAGTTGGTTTACAGTATATATTTCTTACCGGATCCTTAGACAATGTATTTCACTCATTGAACGTACGTTGATTAGGTGACAAGTTTGTTTTACTATTCAACGATACAAACGACGAGATTGTATTTCAAAACGTAAATGGAATTGTTAACAATTCCAAAAAATCTTCGTGTAACACCTTGAAAACAAAGTTTTATTGGCACACCATGCTGATGTTTTTCTTTTTGTAAAACAGTTGTTTTAGTGTTGTAAAAGCGTTTAACCGTTTAGTGTAAACCGTTTCCTACAGTTTTCAAGGCAAATGGAATTTTATATACTTCTGGTAATTATGTCAAACCCGTTTGATTTTGAAACTCATAAATAATATAAACGCTTTATACAATTATTTTAGTTTGTGTTTTATTTTTTTTATACTGTCTCATTACTTTGTACCAACATTGCCTTTTAAACATTTTTATGTAGTGTGATGTTTAAACAGTCGGTGGTACACAGAAGTTTGAATCATGGTTCATTACTTCTGATTTTCATAAGGTTGAATAGAAACACTGCGAATGAAGTATGTAACAATTTCTGAAATAGATTGCAGTAAAACTGCATTTGCCGTCTATGTGTTACGTTTAAGTAATGATTTTATTTAGGAATATATATTTAGTGTCATGACATAACCTCCTTAACTCATTACTCACATCTGCATCTACTGCGTTTGGATCTGCAGCATTGTCAAGAAGAATTAAAACAACATCCTTGTGTCTATTCCTTGCAGATAAATGTAATGCTGTATTGCCCTATACAGTAATGATACGATTTGATATTCACATTTATTTTGTTTCAGTCATATACTATTTTACTTTTATTGCAAAGCATTATCAAGCAAATGCATTTTTTACCCGATCTTTAAACAATACATTATATAATAGTTTGTATTGAAATCACGCAAATTCATCAGATCATAAGTTAACATTTATTACGACTAAACGTTACAAACGAAGGGAGATTATAAATCAACTATTGAATGGCAAAAGTGCAAATCCTGAAGCTCGTCAGATGACGCCATACAGATATTAGTTTTATTGGCGCCTCCATGCTGACTGCTTTGCCTGGTTTTTTTTTCAGGTTGTTACAGTATTTAACCGTGTAATGTCCTAGTTGACAACCAGTTATAATGCCTGCCATTCGCTACGAACTCAGTGAGTTGGAAATGGCAAAAACTACATATAGTTTCGTATAGTAAATGTTTAATTGATCAATAATGCTAAGCATAGGATTTAATTCAGGTTTTTCATCCTCATGCAAAGTTGATTGCATACCATTCTATGAGTTATATCAAAACCACCTTGGATTAAACGCTTATCAATAATTATACATGCTTTAAGAAATTACTTTATTTCGTTTGTGTTTTATTGTTGTGCACCTGTTTCGTTTAATTTTTGCCTCATCTCCTTTTCTTCATATTTATGATTTTGCCGCTAAAAGTGCAAGTAGTTAAGCTCCAACGTATGCGCTGAAATTGAGATCATACATCGATGCTACCAAATTATCTAAGATTTGAATAGAATCCTCAATTATAATTGCTATCACATATCGCAGTGACTACGAAAATCAACTGCATTTGCCTCCTACGTGTATAGGAAGTAAACTTCTTTAGATAAAGATATTAAATTAAACGACAAAACCTCCTTTTCTCATTACTAACTTCTTCGTTTTTTGCATTTGGATCTGCAGCATGGTCAAGGAGGACAGTTACCACTTCCTTGTGTCCAGTGCTTGATGACAAATGTAGTGCTGTATTGCCCTATATAGCAATGATAAAATTTAATATCTAAATATATTTCATTTCGGGATAATATTAAATTCTTGATATTCAATATATGTTTTTTCTTTTACCAAGTGCTTTTAAAAACGTTAAAGTGTACGGATCATGAAAATGATAGTTGGAGGATACCAAAGGCATATGTTTAGTATTTCATATGACTGAGAAATTAGAAACAACGATTTGATCGTACAGGAAGAAGTGTAAAAAAGTTGTAACGAAACTTCCGAAACTCTCATGATGCTATTCAATAGTAACGTTTTTTCATGGACTTCCATGTTAATGCTTTGAGTCATTCTTCCCAAGCTTTAACAGTGCTTTTTGTTTGCAGAAGTTGAATGCAAACCAAAAATACTATGGTTGAAATGGTAAGCTTGCTTTAAAAATGAAAATGATCCTGACGCCTTTGCTCGCAAGCTTGATAATTTTACCTACATCTGATGTAACTGCATTCGAATCTGATCCTCTACGTAGTAATTCACTAACAATGTCCATGATTCCATTTTGAGCTGCTAGATGGAGTGCTAACCACCCCTGTACAATTATAAAATAAAATAATAATTTGATTCTTTATGAATCTGCCAAATATTTATTGTGATTAATTTGTCTTGTTTTAGTGGACAGTATCAAAGAACGCACCCTGTATATGTATTACAGTAGGTGTCAACGAGATACCAATTATAGACCAAACTACAACACCACAAATCGTTCATAAACAATGAGGAAAGTCATCATTATTCTTCAGTCAAGAGCCTATAATTCAGTGGTTGTCGTTGGTTGTTATCTGTCATATTTGTTCTTTGTTAATTGTTTAATCATATATATTACCGTATTTTTTTTCGTTTAAATTTTTTAGCATTTAATCATGTTGGTGTCTTTTATGGCTAATTATATGGTATGGGTTTAGCTCATTGTACGATTACCTTTAGTGACTTGCGTCTACATCATCTTGACTCGATAGTTATCTCATTGGCAATTATACCAAAACTCCCAATTTATAAAGACTATCAAAAATGTGCCATCAACGCAAAAATCACTAACGAGTCTTAGAGAAGAAAAAAGATGAAAAAGATACCATGGAACCATTCCATTTCGAAAGTCGAAGAAAATCAGGCGATATAAGCAGCAAAAAGAAAAGAGATTAGCATAACTCCAGAATTTGTTTTGTGTTTTAATCAGTGATTTCCAACATTCAGAATATTACACAATAGTAACAGAAATTTCCAAAATGCCGCACATACCTTAATACTAAATGAATATGTACATTCTGAAATACAATTTGGTTGAAAAATACGAATAAACTTTTATGTATATACTAACATCTTTGTCTACATGATTCAACAAGTCTAACTCTTTGTCAAGCAGTATAGAAACTATTTCTATATGTCCATTGTCAGCTGCCCAATGAAGGACTGTTCTACCCTACAAAATATATACATAAAATATATAAATAGAAAATAATATGTGGCGTCTGTAGAAATGACAAAATGATAATACAAAATGGAAAAAAATAAAGAAAACAGAGAAATTTGAAATGTGTAGAAAGTAAAATAACAAAATTACCGAACTCCGATGAAAATTCTAAACGGAAAGTCCCTAAGAAAATGGCAAAATCAAAAGCTCAAACACATCAATCGAATGGATAAAAACTGTCATATACCTAACTTGGTACAGGCATTTTCTTATGTAGAAAATGGTTGATTAAACCTGGTTTTATAGTTAGCATCCTCTCACTTGTATGACAGTCGCATTAGATTATTGGGATCAGTAACCTCTCTTCAAAACAATCAGAATAATCTGCCAAAGTACTGGTCTTTACTCCTGGATATCTGTCAGAATCTGTTATAGGTGAGTACTAACCAAAACTGTTCTAAGATTGATCATCAGTTCTAGGATGGAACGGTCGAAATCTGCTCTGGATTAACGTTTGAAATTTATTTGTAATGATGTTTGTTCAAATTTCTTTTTTATAATGCTTAAGTAGTAAAAAATGTATATTGTGATTTGGATGGAGAGTTGTCTCATTGGCATTCATACCTAATCATCTTATCTATATGTACTCTTTCCGTTATAATTTACAAAAATAGTATATGTTCTTTGGAAATACAAATATATACAGAACACTTTTGGGACTTTTATTAGAGGTAAAGTATTTTATTACACGGTGATCATATCAATTATAAATAAATATTATTCATATTTTACAATCTTTTCGTATAGATTTGTATTACATAAGTGGTTTAACAAGATTCATTCAAAGTTTGCTATTCGCCAATTACAATAGTTCATAAGATCATATGGTCAATGTAGCAAATAAAGGCAATTGTGGCATACCGCTGTTCAATAGTCATAAATCGATTTAACTGAAACAAATTACAATAATTAGAATTTAAAGAATAAGCTGTCTTAAAGTATCATAATAAAGAAACAAAGATATCCTACAATATTTTAGACATACAATATAAACAAATAGAATAAATTTTAGTTCTGTTAACGTTTTCTGGCATGTTTTAGGAAAGTTAAAACTAAGTCCAATTGTACAAGTGTTTAATAAAAGACAATCTTCCCATTTGGAAAGATAATTTTATTTTGCTAAGTTTTACAAAATCATTCAATAATATGAGGTCGCTTTTGTTTTGATCAGCATACCGATTTCGCTTGATTCATCGTAACTTTAATGGCGACAGAGTCGAAACATGCTAAAATCAAGTATAGGTTTTGAAAATTTTATCAAAATAAATCATTAAAAAATTAATCATGTATGTATGCAGCTTATCTTATATCCATTCTTTTAAATACAATTTATTTGTGATAGATATCAAATGATACTAACATAGTCTGTCACTCTGTGAAGATCACAATCGTTGTGAAGTAGTTCAGACACTATTTCCTTCTGTCCATTTTCAACTGCACAATGGAGTACAGACACACCCTGTCAATAATCAGTATGATTGTAATTATATGAACAGACAAATATAACATGTATAAATAAATGGCAGAGGGACAGTGATGCACCATGACCAAATACAAAAGACCAAAGACAAAAAAAAAATAAAATCAGAGTGGTAAGAGTCCGCTAAAAATGTGGTAAGCACGTGTTCTTTGGCATGGTTAGCAGTTTCTTTACAGAAGCTATAAAGAGGTGCGTCTTTCATTTTAGAAATACCCGTTGTTATAATCTTGAAAAAGAGAACTTTGCAGCATCCAGACTTCTAAATTTGTTTTTGTTTTATTTTGTACTTCTATAATACTGTACGAAAGACACGATCATATCCAGACGTTTAAATGTCTATCTACAAATTAGAGCATACCATTTAAAGAACATTAAAATAGTCAATACTAGTAATTACATTCTGATTAAAACGTTTGCGTTTCCAATACTAACGTGTGTGCGTGTAACTTTATTTGGGTTCAGTCCTCTGTCAAGGAGATCAGAAACAATTTCTTTATGTCCATATAAGGCAGCAATATGGAGGATAGTCCAGCCCTGTGTTGACGATAAAACGATATGATATGTAACTGTTTACATACTAGTGATAACTTTGAATGCTTTAGATTTACTATACTAATAACTCATGTATCTACTAACAGACTGTATGCCTAAATTTAAATGTGTCTGACGCAGGCACTGCAGGAGAAGCATATCCTGTAGACACAACTGGTATTGCTCCTTTCGGATTGAATGCGACTTCGTCCATTGTTATTGTTACACTTCCGTTGATTATGAATCGATTCATCCGATTGAACATCGGAAAAATATTGTTGGCCTAATTTGGGACAAACACATATAGAATTTGGCAGGGTTTAAAATGTTTGTGAGCGTTATCATAATTCAAACTTAGTCAATATTATAACAGTAAAACATTAAAAGACAATTTTAAAGGTCTCATTCAATCGAATATGCGAATATCTACAAAATGTAAAAATTCATTCAAATGAAAATAAATTGATTTCATTATCAGATTTTTACGCGAAGATGAAAGAGCTTCTTGGATGACTTGGTTACAGTCTTTACCATTTATTTTCAATGTTGTTCACTGTATTGGTACTTTTTTAAGAAAAGTTATATTCTCTCGGACTTGACAAATGCTTAGTTCCCTTACGATTACAAAGCTATAGGGATCATATCGAAACTTTCAAAGTATCATGTTGAATGCGATTTTTTTGTTCTGTCGTTTGGTGTACGTGTATCAAACGTTGATATAACAATGTTATATTTTACGTATGTAATATAATGGGTACATGTTTTGATTCACATGTTGATTTTGGTAGCTGACAAGCTAAATTTACGAAAAACTCCATCTTAATCATTTATATTTCACAAATGGTTCCTCATGTGGAACATGAACGATCAACTCTTCTAGAACACATGAGTGCACCTAGTTTTGGTGATGTCTATTTTGCTCAATCTTTAATTTTTCTCTCTAGCGTTTGTGGACTTTTTCGTCTTTTTTTTCTTCATTTGTTCGTTTTTTACCATGACATTGTACTAGTTTCTTCAAATCATGAGTTTTGAAAGTCGCCCTGGTATTTTCCGCTTCTTATATATTCGCAGTCTTGAATGCAGTACTTACATCTGGTGTTAATGCATTTAAGTCGAAGCCATTGTCTAGTAAAATAGAAACGATTTCCCTGTGTCCATTTGCAGATGCATAATGGAGTGCTGTCAAGTTCTGCAAAAAAGATCATTTCACATCAACACCTTTATCAATATGTCTGAAAACCTGCAAATGAAGCTATATTTATAAAGGAAAGACCAAGTTACAAAGAATTGATTTCAAACAAGAGCTAATTTCAAAAAAGGTTTTCAATTTTACAGTACATCGTTGGTGAATTCTACGGAAGGCTCAGGTATTAAATTCTTTTTTATGGTGGATTTCTGTGTAGTATTTTGTGTTCGTCTTTTTGTTGTTATTTCGGTATTTTTTTGTCAATGGTGTTGTCAGTTTTTCTATGGCTTATACCTTATGAATTTCTCCTTGGTATCTTCTGTCTAAAAAGTACCAAAATCTTTCGAAACATACGGTTTTTCTATCAACCGGCATAGATGGTTTTGCAAATCTGGTTGCTGTTTTAATAATAGATTACTTCGCAATTGATACTAGTAACTGCTATCCAACAGTTTAGATTCGAGAACAAGTCGCCGTTTCAGAATCTAAAGCATTCTGGGTAATATTTTCAAAAGCGTACACCAAAACGTTGTGATTGACTTACAACGGCCTAAACAATAGGAATTCAACCAATGACGTGACGTTATTTACATTTTGGTGTACGAACAATGAGATTACCCAGAGTCCTTTAGATTCTAATTCGGCGAATTGGGGAGTCGTTTGTAGGGGGTCTCATGGGGGGGGGGGGGGGGGGGGGGGTGTCTGATCCCGGATCATGCTTACTGTTTTGTAAGATTCCCGTATCCCGCTTACACTATGTACGTAGGCAATTCTCATTTTTTTGTAATTTCCCGTGTCCCGCTAGACTTCATTTCCCGTTTTCACGGCACAATAATTTGACTTTCACGTGTCACGCTTACAAAAAATCGGCAATACCGGGTCACGCTTAGACCCCAATGAGACCCACTTTGTAGATCAAACGTGTATGGCGTATATCATTGTTAGCCTTCAAGTTGTATAATCCATAATCTCATATCAAACTATGTTTTGCATTGTAATATTATCAATTTTACAATGATATATTTCCTTACTGAACGTTATTTAGTCAGCAACAAACACCTTATTGTATTTTGTAAGAAAAAATTGAGCACAGGGTATCTTGAAATACGTTAACAAAATGCATTTAGTCCTTCCTTGGATGAATACAATGTTAGTTTAATGTACCAAAGAAACTTCCTTTTTTTAATCAATGCATGGAAATTAAACTTACATCGGATTGGTCAACATAATTTGTCAGTGCTCCTTTCTGAATGCATTTATTTACTGCTTCTAGGTCACCATTTTTCGCAGCTTCTATCAGTTCCTTTGTTTATAAAAAAGGGTTAATCTATTAATAAAGCTTCATAAATTGCTTTTTAGAATCGTGAATTTTTTTTTTTTTTTTTTAAATAACACTGAACATCCGATTCTATACTTTTTGAAAATTCGTGAAATTCTAACAATAGAAAAAAAATAAAACTGCAATAACAACTAAACGATAATAAATATAAATAAGAAGATGTGGTATGAGTGCAATACAGTTGTTTTGAAGTTGATGACTTAATTGATAGTGCTATAGGGATTTAGAGCTTGAAAATTTGTATTGACATTTTTTTACCTCTACATTTTTAATATTAAATTAGGTATCGAAATAAACCCAATTTCTTTTTTTAAATAATTCATAGCGCTATTCATTTTGCACTTCATAAGCATTTATTACTTATCGTTAGTTCAAAATGAACTTATATGAAATAAATCGATAATGTTGGTTTCATCCAATAAGGAGGTGGTTACTCAATCCAATTCACAATGTATAAAAAGTTAACAATTATAGGTCAAAGTACGGCCTTCAACACGGAGCCTTGGCTCACACCGAACACCAAACTATAAAAGGCCCCAAAATGACTAGTGTGAAACAATTCAAACAGGAAAACCAACGGTCTAATCTATATAAAAAACGAAAAACGAAAAACACCGATGAATCACACCAACAAACGACAACCACTGAACAACGGGCTCATGACTTAAGACTTACATTAGTTAAACGATCAATATCTGCGTTCTTTGAGTCAGCATCCATATCAATGGGCTACCTGTAATAACAAGCAACGATATCGGTAACAATTGAAATTAATGTTGGTTCTGCATGTTATATATAAAGAAAAGTCAATTGGAACGCATAGCCCAAACAAACAGACGAAGGGATTGACAGAGGGTCAAATATAAAACTGATGAAGATTTTTTAAAAATGCTGAAAGGGGGCGACATAAAAAAATAAACAATGTTTATCCCGCCTCATATTTATGTGCCTGTCCTAAGTGACGAACCTCGTCAGTGGTTGTCTTTTGTCATATCTTCGTGTTGTTCGTTATTTAAAAATATTCAAAGAACAGTTGGTGATGACGGTAGATCTTCGATTGTTTCTGTTTAATATACATAACTTTGATAAACTATGGGCGATTTTGAGCTTCACAGTATGTATAAACACGGGTTTATCATGTTTATTGTCTAAGACTTATGTTGCCTTTTAATTGATTTTTTGTTTTCGTTTCACTGGGTTGCTGTCTATTAGACGTATGCCCACATATTCTTTCGAAATTTATATTGCCTTCAAAATTGTTTTATAGGGGATATTAAAATCATATTTGCTAGTATTATATTTAACTATTTCCAATACATTATATTTTAAATTTCAGACAGTTATTTATTATCATTCCAATTAAAGCTTACCATAACCTGCTTAAACATCAGCAAATTATCCGAAACACTCCATTATTGTGGATCTCATTTTACAAAAATGGCAGCCGCAGTGTAAATGGTTATTTTTCCTTGTATTCACAAATTTGGATTTCATCGTGTACATCCTTCCTTATTGTTCACATTTCCTTGATTATTGTAATGATATCTCAATCAAATGATCAAAATTAATATAAGATGAAATTGATAATTATCGTTATTTTTCTTATGACAGGTGCATAAAAATGCAGCGGGTTTTAATCGTTTTAACAGGCGCCAACCTTCACACTAACCTGAAACAGTGGTATAACATTACAACATAAAAAGACACACAATAAAATATCAATTGAAATGGCTTAACTCGATCAAAAAGACAATACACAAAAACAAGTAAATATACACTGAACGAATAAATTTGATCTATGACACAATATAAATTAAACATGTTTGTGAGCGCTCAACCCTTTCCATAACCTTGGACAACGGTACTAAAGCGCAACATAAGAATACATTGTAAAAATCAGTTGCGAATGGCTTAACTCACTAAATCGGTAAGATGCACAAATAAACCAACTAACATAAAAGCAATAGACACAAAGCACCGGTATAAGAGTATTCGCAGTTGCTGAAGGATATTTCAACGCAGATTACAACAAACAGATACATCATATTTTCACAGACTAAGATATCTATCAATACACGTACTACACATTTAGTGTAAGGACGTCATAAACAGTCTGAGAAACGCATGACCTAGTGCAATGCCAAAATATAAGTTAACAGTATCAACAGGATCATGCGTACTCATAACTGTACATACATATAAATACCTTGCCACGTCCGGTCTGTGGTTTTGTTAGATGTTTTTCTGCTTTGTATCGATCTGATGAGTAAACCCCTTTTCAACTGATGTTTATACTTTGTTCTTATGTTGTACTGTTTCACCACTGTCCCAGGTTAGGGGGAGGGTTTGGCGCCAAAAAACTAGTCTAACCCCGCCACATTATGTATGCCCCTGTCCCAAGTCTGTAATTCAGTTATTGTCGTTTGTTTCTGTTTGTCATATTTGTTTTTCGTTCATTGTTTTGTACATAAACCAGGCCGTTAGTTTTCTCATTTGAATTGTTTTACATTTGTCATTTCGGGGCCTTTTATAGCTGACTATGCGGTATATGTTTTGCTCATTGTTGAAGGCTATACGGTGACATATAGGTGAAAACTTCTATGTCATTTGGTCTCTGGTGGAGAGTTGTCTCATTAGCAATCATACAATATCTTCTTATTTCTATGTAGCAACTGTATGTACATGTAGTTATGTTTTAATTCATCAAAAACAAAATCAACGTAAGTACCGATAAAAAACAATATTTAAAGATTTCACTACTATCTTTGATTGATAACCTTTCATAACAAATTTATGACCAATGAGTTTTCATGGATCGTGTCTTAATTTATGGGATTTATACACAATATCACAGTAAAAATTTCGGTGTGATATCCCGTTTTTTTAATAAGAATTATACAGGTACAGCCAAACGTCCTAACGAAAGTTTTGCATGTATGGACGAATTTAGTAAAAGTTTAAATAAATGTGTGGTAACGAAATACCCAACTTAATAATTTACCAGTTATACACAAATAACCTTCATTGAAATATAATACACGACTGCAGACACGGGCATAGCGAACACGTTGTGAAATATACACACCATAAGAAGGGGCCAAAGAAAATCACCATCTAAAGAGGGGGGGAATTACTAATAGGGAACTAAAAATCGTCAGCTTTGTCGTAAATTCTTATTTACGAAATTATTAAACTTTGAAAACTAAAACAGTTCTGCAAAAAATATGCCTAGGAGAAGAAAATCTTTTTTGTTTCGAAAAATGTTGACACTTAATAAACAGTAAAGTTATAAAATATGACATTATTAATGTTATGTCATTCTATAACGTAGTCTTGACTACTGGGCTAGTGATACCTTCGGGAACGAAACGTCCATCAGCAGCAATATCGATTTAGTGATTATAAAACCTCAGTATAGATTCAAACCTGAGCAGCCAACAGAAATTAACGACGACACATTTGAAGTACATTTGATGAATATCGTTGAAGTCAGGAAAAAAGGCTAGACGCCAAAATCAAAACGCCACAAACATGCCAATATTTTTTTACTTTTAAGCTGTTCGTACAAACGGCTTTGCAATTTAATTTGATTTATTAATATATGTCTGGTAGGCCTTTTAAGTGTGCATATTTTTAAAAAGATATTTATAAATACAGCTAAGTATTAATTTAAAGAAAAACGCTTTACAATATTTGTTTTCCTTATTTGTTGAAGGGTTGGTTAATGGTTCTCATTTAAAATTATATTGATGCAAATTCTTGAGAGGCTGCAAACACTATGTAAGGATTATTTATACTAAAGACAACAAAAATATAACAACGTTTCCTAAATAGTTGAAATGCGGATATCTGTAAGAAAATAGGTGGAGCTTCAGCCATGGTATAACATCAAAATGGTTTCATGTTTAAGTATGCAAGTATAGTACAACATCAAATTCCAATTAATAGACAATGGTTTTCCCTTACACACGTTTTAAACAAATTATTGTTTTAAAACATTAAAAGAAACATGCAATTCATTTCATAAATCTCAGATAATAAAATATAAAATCTGACAAAGAAAATGAAAGTTAAATTGAAAATATAACATTGAATGTTCACGGTGGGTAGGGTTGTCCTGCGAAAGAATGATCTGTGCTGGTGGTTTGATCTAATCGGTGAACGTGATTGTTGAAAATATGTAGACGCAGACAAAAATTATTATTTTGACGTTTTTTGTAATAAAATAAATAAAGAATAGAGAAAATTGTGCAAAAAATTTAAGAATCAAGAAATAAAGGACCCCCATCCAGATCCCCTGATATGGCAATCACTTTGCAGCAAGCAAATTGATAAATACAACAATTCAAATAAAAAACAATAACTAGAAAAAATGAAGAAATAAACCATTTTTAAATTATGTACTACAATGCAATCTATCAATAGGCTGGTAAACATGTCACGTGATCATTTAGCGCAGCCGCACAGTCCAGTTAAACAACCCCCAAAGAAAATATTCACATAACACGTGCGTTGTCGTTTCGGTCCTATTGGACGTTCTTCATACGGAACTAATAGCATGTCCGCTGATTTACATTGTTCGCAGTAAGAAATCAATTCGTTAATCGTTATTGACATTTTTGTTCGTTCTAACTTCTGGTATGTCCGTAACGTGTTTAGTTCCTCACATAAAATCTTCTTCCTTTTTTCTTCGTCCATTTCTCTTTGACTAGAGATTTACAGTGAAATTTAGTTAGCACCTGAAATATATGAGTTCAATCAAATTTTAATCGATTTCAACATAATTTGATATATATACAAAAATACACCCAAACGCATAAGTTACACTAGTCGAGAATGTATATATGTTTTGCGCACTCTCTCTCTCTCTCAGGAAAAAGTGGTGAAAGAAAAAAGAATATGTATGAATCTTGTCAGATATTCCTAACAAGATTGCTACTTTCATAATAGTATTGCAACCCACATCCCAGAACCTCGCCCAGAATCTACTTATGATCAGTTTATATTAGCTTTAAAGTCGGTAAAAAGGTGTATTAATGATAGAAAGTTACAGACAACCTTCACTCTTATTATACATGTGATTTTATTGTTAAAAACAAGTCTGTGTCAAGCGAGTGCAATCGGAAGTATGTGAAAACTTTGTTATTGTTTGAACGTGAGATAAACGATTAATAGGACAGTGAAGTTCATCCACATAATTTGAGGGAAATTAAACATTAAAAATGCAAAACATTTGATTGAACGTGACAGGGTTCAGGGGCGGATCCAGCCATTTTTAATGGGGGGAGGGGGTTCCAACTATATATCCCCATTCAAATGCATTGATCGTCAAAATAAAGGGAGGGTTCCAACCCCCGGACCCACTCCCCCCCCCCCCCCTTCCCTGGATCCGCCACTGGAGTTAAACAAATGGTATTCAAATTAGCGATAAAATCCTACTGTGTTGTTTTGTTTTGTTTTGTTTTTTTTTTTTTGGGGGGGGGGGGGGGGGGAGGGGGAGGAAGGGGGGTTATGTTTGGTTATTCGCTTGAAAAAAACAATTATCAAATTTGTTTGACACTAAAAGTATTATGTGGAAATGCCAACGATTCTACTGACAATAAAATATTTTTTCTTAATGAATATTTATGTTGAAATCAAATAAAGTTATCTGGTATGTATCTGATCATTAACTATGAAAGCTAGGAAACGTTGGATAAATGACAATGAGTCAGAAATCCAACGAGTCAAATAACCAAAAGACATTTTTTTCAAAAAGTTTGACCTCGAGCATGACTGAAAAGACATTGATTGTCCAAATCCGCATCTGGTGCAATAAAACTGTGCCGTTATAATGCTATAATTGTTTTATTTGTTCACTGCTTCGTTTACTTTAAGTTATGAGAAACAGCCGATACTTATATGAATCAATCGGCGAACCTCGTCAAATTCCGCTACGTTTCATGTTGTAGATCTGCCGAGGTTTTCCGATGGCAATATGAACAAAACGAGGTAAGTGTTATGCGTTAATAAGACAGCAACTAAACGAAACACACACAAAAACATCTAGCATGGTCATCATACAAAGTTCAGCCGTAGTAGAAAGATGTCTATTCAATATGTCAAACTCTAAATCGGAGCGAGTCTGAAAACAAGTGATGAATAGATTAAACAGAAAATGTCAAAAATCTTTAAACAAAACCAAATTCGCTAAATAGCAAAAACAAATTAAGATATAGCAAAAGTTTTTTTTAGTTTGTAAAGTATATTTGACCATGCAAAGTTTGAACTAACCTCTTTAATCTTATCCTCTTCATTCCTTATAACAGCAAAACCTGTCTAAATCAAACCTTGACTAAACTGGAAACCTGTATAAACTAATTGGCTCCAAAGTGCTTTTATGAGGGCCTAGATAGGGGTTCCATATTTTTATTATTCTCAAATTCTTTAAATATTTTTCTATGTGCTTTTTATTTATTTTGTTCATTATTCTCTATTCTTTATTTGTTTTTGCCTATTTTTCTATATTCATTTTTTGTTTGCCCTTTATTCTGCACTTTTTGCCCATTTTCTATTATGTTAATCCCATCAAGACCCTCCTTTATACCAGCAACACCATATTTTGAATCTTTATAAACTGAACGCCTGTCTCTTAACAGAACAAATTCCTCAGTCCTAATGGGATTCGCTTGATACAGGTTTCACTGTATTTAACCTAGTATTTAGTACTTTATTCTGCGTTGTCCAAACACTATAATCCCTATACGAACGGACGGGGACCCGTGTAGGGGGGGGGGTGTCATTTCCCAAATCCCGCTTTTTTATAATTTTTTCCCACTCTCCACTTTTTTCCCCCTTCCTTTTCCCTAATCCCATCTTTTTTACCTCTATATCCCATATCCCCACTTTTTGGACCCCTATATCGCACATCCCCACTTTTTGGACCCCTATATCGCACATCCCCACTTTTTTACCTCTTATATCCCACATTTCAAAGTGTAGCATCCCCTTTACGAAGGTAGTTACAATTAACAAGAAAAATAAGGAGATGGTTGCCAATGAGACAACATTTCACAAGAGTCCAAATAAAGTAGATATAAGCAACCATAGGTCAACGAACGACATTTTAATTAACATTTTTTCAGTGTTTCGACAAGTTGTCAACGAGAATTAAAAAAGAAGATAAGAAACGTTGATATGACAGCAGCCCAACAACACAAACAATTAGATTACATTATTTTAACAAATAATCCTGTTATTTTCTTTTTCTTATTGAAATATACATTTTTTTTTATCAGGGGCGAATCCAGGATTCAAAAAAAGGGGAGGGGGTGTAAATCAAGAAAATTAAAGTAAGAAAAGTTATTCTTTGCAGACCTATCCAGGATTCAAAAAAAGGGGAGGGGGTGTAAATCAAGAAAATTAAAGTAAGAAAAGTTATTCTTTGCAGACCTAACGGACGTGTAAACATTATTTTTGATAAAAAACAAAACATACATTAATTTTGAATGAATATGTATGCTAGATATAACATTGAAGCAATATATGTGAGATAATATAAAGCACTAGATAATGTAAACTTACTTGACCATGTCGATTCAACTTCATATATTTAGACTGAGTCACGACATAAGTATAATATAAGTATAATATAGATGCATATACTGAGCAACACGATAAACCCACCACTTCAATGGCTGACCGAAGTATAGAATAAGGTCACTTTTGAGAATGCGTTTGTTTGTGTGTTCGATGTTTATAAATACTTTTGTTTTTTTTTCTTTTTTTCTTTATTATCCATTATTTTAATTCATATCATGCTTTGAAAACGGTTAAAAAATTTAGTAAAAACTCACAATCAATTTTAAAATAATACTTTAATTTTATTCGTTTAACGTCACCAATTTGTTTTTCAATAATAATGGACATGTTTTGTGATGTGAATTTGGAAGAAATGCGACTATTAAAAAGGCAACACTCATTTTTCCTTCTTCCCTAAAATCATTTGCAGAAATTTTGTTCAAGGTTAATTCATAATTCAAAATATATAGCCATTTTGTTTTACATTAAAAGATATCAATGCAGGTGGTGCGTTTCTGTTGTTTTTCAGTATACTCACGTCGTAACAGCCATACAGGATAAGGAAACACTTCATGCATGTACAATTACATGTTTATAATATTGTTTATAGAAAATTTCCGGTGACGATGTATCCGACAATATACCATTGAATGAACTAAAATTCAGCCTACGCAAACTTGTATTTTCATTCATTCACGTAAGTGTTCGTTCAATGAGAATACTAGTACTAGTTTTTGCTTTACTACTCTACTAGAAATGATCTTGAGTCAGATTGATCATTACTGATACTTTCAAGTCATAGAAAGCTCTAATTGGACAGGGTACCTATGCATCTACCCATAAAGGAATTAAAATACATGTTAAAATTATTTTCTTTTTCTTATTGAAATATACATTTTTTTTTTATCAGGGGCGAATCCAGGATTCAAAAAAAGGGGAGGGGGTGTAAATCAAGAAAATTTAATATTTACCCAAAAACATTTGACGATTTTATGCTAAAAAGTATATATATTTCAATAAAAGGGGCACACGCCCTCTACACCCCCTTTTCTATTCAGCAACTGGTGATTCACTACCAACCACGAGACATTCATAAGTAACCACCGATTGAAAATAATTAAGATTTAGTTGAAATATTTTTTCGAACATGTTGAATCAAAATGCAAAGACATCACGCTAGATAACGATACTACATCAGGGTCTGGAAAGAGGTTACAAAATAAAGAATAATCAACCAAGAGTACAAAAAAAGGCCAAAATAAAGATTGGAGGATAATGGGGTGCAAAACTATATAGAATGGAGAATATTGGGCAACATTAATCAAGAATAAAGAAAAAATGTCAAAAAGGAATAAAGAAATGAAGGACCCCCCTTTCCCATTCCAGACTCTCTTACATTGTAATTTATGAAGTTCATGTGTTTTTTTATATATTACATTTCAGACCAGCTCTTGATTCGTTAAAACAATTTTTCTTAGAATTTCTTTAAATGTAGTTATCTAATTATGATATAGATGATGAAATTTATTTCTTCTTCTTCCAATACGTAAGAAATAAAAATGTAAGAAGCAATTACTTCTCTGATAGTGTTACTCGGAATAATAACTTTATGAGTTTCACTTACAAAAAAAGCTACAGTAAATACTCAATCCAACAAAGTCTGGGTTCCTTTTTTAAAACGGTCCATGGAACCAATGACAAGGGACACTCGACACTTGATTTTTTAAGGATTCGTTGTACATATGATTTTAGTAATATCAAATTTGTTTGTCACAGGCTGTATTTTATATGCTTTGCGACAATACCGATTATAAAGTACAGATATATTTTTGTGCTAATGTTTGTTCTCTTTGTTTCTTTACCATTCTATTTAATTTAGTCTAATACTCGATAAAATAAGTTGGTATTCTATTGTACTCATAAACATCAAAAGAAAATAAAAAAAAAAACACTATAAATTTCGTTGGTCCGATGCGCTCTTCTTCTATTACCTTAAAAACATTCGAAAGCCAGCGATGTATAAATACGGAGAAAAGTTAGGCGCTACATGTATATGACAAAAGTGACCTTAATGAATTGCCATATTCCTGAAAAGAAGAGTTTTGCCTGAGGGAATTGGAACTTTGATTTAAATTCATAAGGAACGCTAAAACCCCAAAATTTGAAAGCAAAGTACTACCCAAGGTCAATTTTGCCCGAAGGAGTTGTTACCTCAATTTCTAAATAATTTCTAAATTTTTCAATGGGGAATTTTTAGAAATATGTGTTATAAATCATGTCAGTACCGAAGCAAATTGAATGACTCCTTAGCTGATGATATCCTCAGGTACAAACAATATTAACATAAGAAGATGTGGTATGATTGCCAAGGAAACCAAATGAGGTAGTTATACATGTTCAATTTCTATTTCTTTTGGTCCAAGAAGCCTTAGATCAAAACCTTTCAATTGCACCTATTGTAGACAAACGTTTTCCCGTAGGGAATTAAAAAATACCTCCGAAAGTTGGGGGTAGGAATGTAAGACCCTAACTTTAGAACTATAATGCAGACCCACCTAAGCCTTTATGTTCAGTATACCTTAGGGTAGGGATTTAATTTTAGATACTCCGAAGACCAAGGTTGGACAATTAAAAAAAAATCGAAAACCGGTTCTAGCTTTACTCACATCCTTCCGGCAATACTTTTATGCGAACTAAGTATATACGAAAGACTATGGCACAAGGCCAAATGTCAAAGTTGTACAACTCTCGAAGATTTTAACCAAAATTCCGAATTGGGTCTGACGTTACTATTAACCAGTCCTTTATATAATCAAACTTTTTCCTACGACAATACTTTTATCCACCCTAGGTGAAAATGACATTAGCTTAATGTTTTCTTCACCATCTGGTAACGTAGGGAAAACTCACGGAAGGTCACTAGGTCCAAAATTGATGTCTGACATGACTGGCGTGTGCCAATAGTCAGAGAGAATGGAAATACAACTGTTCGTTTGGAAGACACATTTATGAAATGAATCATGAGGCGGAGAAAAAAGAGAAAACAACACATCAATGAACATACATGAACACGAACAATAGAGTAAGGGAGATAATAGTTTTTACAATATCAATGCATGTAACATTCAATACAATATACTGGCGATGATGTAGTCAAATAGCAATTTCTTTGTACACTTTTTTTGTTGTTGTTATTCTAAACATCCGATTGAAATAAAACCCGCGTTTATAGAAAGAGAGTTACTCAATTAAACGTTTTTTTTTTTTTTTTTTTTTTAATCATGATACACATTGAAACATAAATAAATATTTCTAGTCTTTTAACATACAGATACATGTATTGGTACTTTTTGGGAACCATATGAAAGAATGCCGAGAGTACAGGAAGCCATTTCACTTGTGATCTTCTCTTCCTTTCTAAAAATATTCAATATCAAAAATAAGAAAAATTCATATTTTTTTAAACATTTACAATAAATCGGTATCGTTCGTTCGGTATTGTTTTGGTTTTTTTTTATTCAGAATTGATAAAGCAATTAATGTAATGCTGTTGAAAAAGTTTCTTTACAAAAATGTTTTATTTTCATCACTTCCGTAAATCCTTTAATGTTTCTCTTGGTTTTAATTACTTCGGTCGTGCCGATCGTTATCATTCATTCTTTTACAACATACCACTATCTTAGTTGTAAATGGAAATGTATAACTCTGTCTTAAGTGTCACTGGGTACTTAAACATAAATGGTCCGACTTTAAACTAGGTTAATTTATGTTGATTATTGTCATGTTGCTAAGTTTCTTCTGTTACCTAATATAACATCGGACTCTGGCTTTTTTCAAACTGAGTTTTTCTTTAGTCATGTTAGCGTCACTGAGTACTTAAAAAAAAAACATAAATGGTCCATTTTAAACAAGGTTAATGTATGTTGATCATTGTCATTTTGCTTAGTTTCATCTGTTTCCTATTCTAACATCGGACTCTCACTTCTTTTAAACTGAGTTTTACTGAGCGTATTGATGTTTGTGTTTTTTTTTAAATCCTCATTGGCTAGATGTATAGGGGGAGGATTGACATCTCATAAAACATGTTGAACCCCGTCGCATTTTTGCGTCTATCCCAAGTCAGGAATTAAGTGAGAAATATATGAATGGGTTGTGATTTTGCCATGAGATATATATATATATATATATATGGGTCGTGATTCACCCACCCCTCTCCCCCCTTTTGTCCCTTCTTCTCATCGATAGATACACTAACATTTTAATGATTTTTTGTTAATTATAAATGATGCAATCATGCTACTTGGCGATGTCTTTTTAATAACCGCATAGAAAACTTTGATAATGTACACGTACAGATCTTGGGTTTTTTGTTTTCTTCATTTTGATTATTTCCCTTTAAACGTGTTTAAAATCTATTTATAATTTGTGTTCTATTTTACTTCCTAGGCTGTAAATGAAATGAACGATTGTGTTTCATGAATAATTCAGGTGTGTAATTCAATTTATCATATCATTTTCATAAATATCTTCATTCTTATTTATCTTAATGTTTTATTTGAAGAAATAACTGACTGTTAGCACTAGGAATTAATCAATTATTCTAATATTGGGTTGTTACAAACAAAACATTTTGTTAGTTCATACACGCGACAAAAAGTTCACAAGAAATAGAGAAATATGTATCTACCTAAAAAGTAAAGTATGAACGAAAGTCGATGTTGGGTAAACATCAATGAAATAACATTTGACGACCAAAAGACATCGTACGAGGTCAACTTCGAAGGAGCTCGATCGACGGCCGAGTCGACAGCTGCAGATCTATCAGTGCAGATTCTAAATAAAAATACAACACATAAATGTATATGTCATGTATATGTAGTGACAGCTTTCACAATATCAATATTCATGAACTTGGAGGTACAAATATAGTAAATATTTGGTGAACTACGTACTCTTATGAATTTCAAATGCACTCACATTAAGAAAAATCTAATCAAGCAAATTAAAAATCCAATTTTCACTAAATGTATTTCATTTATTTTAAGCACTAAGAACCTAACCAAAATCCGGCTGATCCGGAAGTACTATAGAAATGTTTTCACTATCAAATTCTATGAAATAGCGCAGATTTAACAAGAATTTTTAAGCGATGTATAGCTTATGATGTGTTTAGTGAAAATTTGAAAGTGTTGATTACTTGGCAAAACGTTGTAATACTAATAGATTGTTTTAAATCCACAATTTTGAAAACTACAGATGATAAACATGACAAGTGAACCACCTTTACGCCATTCAAAGCCAGAAATATAGCGGAACTGTATGATAATTTGAAATGGACACTTTTTGGAGGTGAATGAAATTAATACACTGTAATGAAATTTTAGTCCTTCACTTAACCATGTTCTTGAATTGAAATTTTAAATTATATACTGCGTACGAGGGGGTTGACATGCTTATAGAGGGTACAAAAAAGAGGGAGCTGGAATATAGGAGGTATAGGAATTGTGATCGGGGAGAAAAAAGAAAAGAAAGAAAAGTTGGAAGTGGAGGAAAAAAACGTTATTTGGGAAATGAACACCCCCGTGTCACCCCATAATGTATAACTTTTCAAACATGAATATGCAGTCTCTATTGCAGGCACATGGATGTGACAAAGCTATTTGTGGCGGCAATAGATTTTGGGACGACATACTCTGGCTTTGCCTTTTCTACAAGAGATGAAAAAGCGTCAATTTACACATGTGAGTGGAAAGATAGCGATTTGACATCAAGCAAGACACCCACGTCTGTGCTGCTGAACAAACAAAAAGAATTTGTAGCTTTTGGATATGAAGCCGATAATAAATACACACAAACTATCATCCCTGATGAAAAGATGAAGGATTTTTACTATTTCCGACGGTTTAAGATGAGTTTGCATAATGAGGTTTGTGCCACTTTGTATCCTTCACATTCAGGATGAAGTGATGAAAATCACTGGTGCGTTTTTTTCAACTGTTCTCATGAATATATTTGATTAAGTCTCTAAGTGATAAGATAATGTTTCGTCTGTTTCACACGAGTGCTTGAAAGTATTGATGAAACTGACTATTACAAATGTTTCACAGATTTGTTGAATATTACTCACAAACTCTTAAGACATCGAGAGCTCAATATACGGTATTCGTCGAATCTCTTATAAATAGAGACAGTCACACTTAGTTGTTAATTTTCAGATTTGGGACAGACACAAAAACATCTACCGAGTTCTTATCTCTGAACTAAATTCCAAATTTAAAGTAAACTAGTATAGAATTTCAATAAAAATAAAATAATTAATTAGCAAATCTGAAAGAACAATACAAGTCAGTCCCGCTCGAACTTCCTATCATTACACAACATTAGTCATTTATTTACATTATTTTTCTAAATAATCATGTGCTATTTAAATAGTCATCGAATAAACATACTAGTAAAATACACGCAGAAAATACAGGGAGGTCCAAGCCTCAATCTCTTGTCAAAAGATATCAGGAGCCCAGCAACTTAATGAAATATTAAAAACTGTTTTAATGTCCAGTTGGTGAAGTCGGTAAGTATATATTACATATGCATTAAGTTCTTTACGAAATAAACAACTTTAAAGCGAAAAACTTGTATTAAATCCTTCGTTTGCTCAAATAATTACATCATATTCATTGTCGATGTATTTATAATTCAAAACATTCACAAACGTATATTTAAATGTCAGATATTATCACTGGATACCGAAATTGAGGAGGAATGTGGCAAGAAAATGAAGGCATTAGACGTGTTCTGTATTTCTGTTAAATACCTGAAAGAACAGATGATAAAGAAATTACAAAGCAGACTTATGGGCACGAAAGAGGAAGATGTACAGTATGTATTGACAGTACCTGCTATATGGGCTGACCAAGCAAAGTTTTTCATGAGAAAAGCGGCTGAAGAGGTAAAATAGTAACATACATAGTTTTATACGTGAATAAACTATTGGCACAGAGATATGTCTCCCTTTTTGTAATTTACCATAAAGTTATACATTGTTGACGCCGTCGACACCGGAAACAGTACGCCTAAGTTTCGCTTTTTCGATTTCGTCTTAGCGAGACAAACACTAAGACTTACAAGGGAAGATAGAATAAACATCAATGGTGAGGATAAAAAATAGATGAAAGACATCAAAAGTGTATCAAACTCAACACAGAAAACTAAAGATTAAGCACGAATAAAATGGAGGAAGTCTTGAACTAAGACATCCGGGGGTTACCTTGCTATGTATAAATGTAACCTGCAACGGAAATAACTTTTTTATGTCACCAGAACGTTTTAATAGCACTTATATCCGATTATAGCTTTATTATATTTTCATTCCAGGCCGGAATAAAAAAAGATCAGTTGACCTTAGCACTGGAACCCGAGGCAGCATCTATATACTGTCATGAACTGAGACTGGAGGTTGATAAAAAAGAGAACAAGTTCCTTCAAACAATAAAATCAGGGATGAAATTTATGGTTATTGACCTTGGTGGTAGGTTTGATAAACTTATCTAAAAATCAGTTATTTTGGATTATCAAATTAAGAAACTTAATTTTAACACCGCCTTTGTATATACCATTGAAAGTTTATTATTTAAAAAAAGGAGAGGTTGTATGGTTGCCAATGAACCAAAGATGTAAACATCTACGACCTTCAAAAATGATTGATAAATCGATTGTTTTGTGTCGACGAGGGGGTTTTTTAACGACCTTGACTACCGATGAGGGTCTCGCACGGTCGGTAGGCGTGTGTACTGTCATATTTAGGACGAGCACACATTAGAAACTAATACAATACTACGAAGGTTTTGCGCGGTAGGTCGACTGTGATGAATGGTTGGACATCTAGACTGTCACTTGAAAAAAAGAGAGTATGTTGATTATTTGACCGAAATTTTGCCTTGCCTTGGTAATGAATCTATAGAAAAAAGTTAATTCTATTGTAATTAAAAGTTCTTAATGTTAATATGCGATAAGCATTATTCATTACTGGAAAAAAATATATTTTTGAGAATTTCTCAAATATTCGCATAGTTAACATTAAACTAGACAGGGTGGTTATTTAGTGGTGTGCCTCCTAAATGTTACGGTTATATAAAAAAAAACTTTATTACAGTACTCGCGCGTGATAAGGTGTATTAAGTGGAAGGTATGATAAAATCAATAATTCGCGCCTTGAATTCAGAATTAAAATTATTTTAACATTACGAAATAAGTAGTGTTTTTTTTTAAGTAAATATTTTTTAATATTTTAACTTATTTTCACTTATTTAATGAGTTCTTGCTCTTATACATACAATATTACATGCACAACAACAATAGTTTATATATGATGGCCATCTATTCTTTCTTTCCAGGCTGTTGAACTGAGGGCGGAGCTAATTAAATTAAAACAAAAAAACCAGCATGCTCACTAACTTATGATACTAATCCGTTGTCCGATATAAGGTAGACTAAGTAATGTATCTCTCATCTCGACTTTTCAGGTGGTACAGCTGATATCACTGTTCATCAACGGCAAAAGGACGAAACATTAGAAGAAGTGATACCTCCTAGCGGCGGTCCCTGGGGAGGCACGGCTGTAGACAAAGCATTCCTTGACTTCATGATAGATTTATTTGGTGCGGATGTCATTGAGAGGTTAAGGGAAGAAGAGTTAGAAGATTATTTTCATCTCTTGCATGATTTTGAAATTAAGAAGCGATCGATTAAACCAAAGGGAGCAGACGACAAAGACATTGTTATGCAAATGGATGTTAGTTTAATGGATTTAATCAAAGAATGTCGAGGTGGCATTAGCTCACACATTAAAAAAACAAAATACAAAGATTTAGTATCAACTGATGGACAAAAATTACACATCAAAGCTGACCTTTTCAGAACCCTTTTTAAATCTACAATAGATAAGTTGATAAAGCACCTCAGCGATATCTTTGAAAAAACCGAACTATCCGATCTAAAAAATGTTATCATGGTTGGCGGTTTTTCTGAATGCGAGCTGGTTCAGATGGCTGTCAGAAATAAGTTTGTTGGAGACCGAAAAATTATTATTCCGGACGAATCTGGACTGGCCGTTTTAAAAGGAGCTGTGTTATTTGGTCATCAGAAGAAGAAAATAAAGAAGCGAATTTTGCCGAAAACGTATGGGATTCAAAGCTGGCCGGAATGGGATCCGGATATACACCCAGAAACAAAGAAGATTCGAATGGGCGGAACCGATCGTTGTAAAGATGTTTTCTTTAAATTTGCATCTATTAACGAGAAAGTTGAAGATGGTCATACTGCATCACAGATATTCCAAGCATTAAACCCGAATGAGAAGACTCTCGAATGTGCGATTTACACTTCAACTGATCCGAATCCAAGATACGTTACCGATCCGACATGTCAGCGTCTAGGTAATTTAATCGTAGATCTACCAAAGCTCAAAGAAGGCGAAACGTTGGAAATTGAAGAAACACTTGTTTTCGGTGGAACTGAATTATTATTCAGGGCTAAAAACTTAAAAACAGGTCGAGTGTTCGAGACACAACTATCCTTTTAGTAGCATATGCATTTGTGCTTATGTTAAAATACAAAGTGATAGGATTAAGGTTGTTTTTCTCTTATTGTCGAAGGCTCTACGTTGACCTTTACATTAATTTCTGAAATCCGCTTCATGTGGGTTGTGTCATGGCGATCATGCCATATCTCGATTTTTAAAAAAAATATTATTTATATTATAAAAGATATGCAAACCATGCAAAACATCATTAATTATACTGATTTTATTTATAATAATTATCAGAGTTACTACACATGTGCATCATTATTGGATGCTACATTCGATTTGTTGCATTTCAATATTTGAAATTTTCGGATTGATGTAAATATGGTTTCGATCACACTTTTATAATGCATGTATGAAATGCATTTTCAAGAAAATACCGAAGTAGTTGGTAGTGGGTTGGGCAATGAAAAACCATAAGCCGAAGAAAAACAATCAAGAAAACAATTAAAAAGGAGAACACGGCACCCAAGAAAAACAAGGGGATGACAAGAGTTGCTCTGGGAGGATAGCAGTGTCTGCTCCTCTTGTGACACCTGTCGTGTTTCTAAAATTAGGAAATCAGGACAAGTTATTATCAGTGGTATCAGCCTAATTTTGTTTTGAAATCATTACATGTATATATTATTTCTAGAAGAAAAAAAGTTGAAGGAGAAGACATTCTGTATGTGCCTGTCCCAAGTCAGGAGTATGTTGTTCAATGGTTGTCGTTGGTTCATGATGTCTATCATATTTGTATTTCGTAAACTGTTTTGTTATAAATTAGGCCGATAGTTTTCTCAATTGCATTTTTTTTACGTCTGGGCCTTTTATAGCCGATCGCCCGGTATAGGGTTTTATCAACTTCATTTGAACTTTGGTGGATACATGTAGTTATCTCATTAGCAATCGTATCACACTCCTTTTTTTATAAAGAGTACGACCATATGAAATTTAAAAAAAAGGAAGGGGGTATTAATGAGCCTTTAAAAGGGTGCAGAATAGATGAATATTCCATAAAGAAAAAAAATCCCATCCCCCATTTACATGTGTGTGTATACAATAGTCATATTTACGTATATTGAATTAAAAAATCTTCTCCCTCCATTGGAATTGTTTTAATAAAAAAAAAATTGAGTTAAATGTGACCGAGGTGAATAGGTTATTTGCCAATTCCCGTAATTGACCCTGTAATTAGAAATCCCTTTTTTAGTTGTCTCCCTTATGAGGGACATTAATTTTTATTTACAATGGAGAGCTAGCAGGAAGACCAAATTAACCTGTGCGTAATGTGAGTAATCTTTAAGGTTGTCAAATGTTTTAATTACATTAATTTGTTGTTAAGCTTAAAATACTTTTGACATCAGAAATTATTTTTCATGTACCGCCGATACATCACTTTCAATTCATCATGCTTTGCATTGGCAAAAGCCAATTTTGTCCGGTATGGAACCAGTCTACGATTGACAAAGGGAAGTAATTTTTTAAAAAGTGTGTAATAAAAGAATCAAAAATGTAATTGGCAAATGGACTATTAGTATATATATATATGTATATATATATATATATATATATATATATATATATAAATGCACGTAAAACACTAGATCATTTATATTAAATTCAAATATACTATATGTTCGTTTGAGTTAACAGTAGCCGTGACGAACTAGTATATATTTAAAACCAAATACACGTAAAACACTAGAAGATTTATAGATACTTCACAAAAATAGACATGTATCGATTACTTCCCTTAAATATAACAGTAAAGACTACTCAGTAATGATTTACATCCCGAGGATTGACAATGAAAGAGAAGAAGAAATGTGAGACCGATAATTCAGGTACAAAACTAATGCAAACCAGCTTTTGTTGTCCTTGTTGTTATTACATGTTTATCAGTTTAAAGTTCTTTATTCTGGTACACACCATCTTCGCTAGCCATGCAAGGTTTAAGGCGGAGAGGAGGGGAGTGAATCGTAATCCTCGGCTAGCGAAGATGGGTACACACAAACATGTTAAATGTTTAACAAAAAACAGAAGGTAAACAACAAATACAAATAAATGCTAAACAATGGCAAACTTTATAACTAGTAGACCGAAATCGTTTAATTCTCCAAGTAACAGTGGCATATTCAAAAGGGGGTGCGGGGGTTGGAACCCCCCTGTTTTGACGACCAATGCTTCTGAAACGGGACATACTTGTGGTTGGACCCCCTCTTATCCTGGGTTGGAACCCCTTTTAAAAATGGCTGGATCCGCCCCTGAAGAAATCAGTGTTATTACCAAAAACTTGTAGCTCAATATGAATCCGTGATAAAGTAAAAACGATTGAATTTCATGTTAATCCGATCAAAGTGCAGTAGCCGGTTTGATTCGCCACAAATCCAATCGGTCCGATAGCTACCATCATCATGCAATTAGCTGACTGAATTTCTGTATTCTGTATTTTTTATTGTAAATTTTCTCTTCTCTTTTCTTTTATTTAACCATTGATCTCTATTCTTTATAACTTAATGTCCCATTATTCTATATTCCTTTTAATTTTGTTCCTGTAGACCTATAGAGCTTCCTCAAGGTGGGCCGGTGAATGGAAATATGATCCTTTTACGACATTCTACGACCGGCAGTAAAACCCTTCCTAAAGTGAGAAATCCGTTTGGCTGTGTGGGATGTATAAATACGCAGTCACGTCTGGTCAGATTGGGGACGTTACATCCGATGCCTCATGTAGAGAGAGTAACACGCATTTAAAACCCTTGCAACAACTCTTTCAGGGGTCCGTAGCTGGCCTGATGGAATTCAACATTTCTGGCGTTATCCAATATATCCTTTTTTTACAGTGGCACTCCAAATTTCCACGACCTCCACTCCGGACGGCCTCTATTACAGGACCTACAAATTGTATGCATTGCTAATTTGTTCTCGTCCTGAACATACATGAAATATTTGCCTTTGGAGGTTCAGCAAACATCAATAAATTTATACTTCCTACTTCTATCTTTTGCTTTTGGTTTGGTTGGATAGCCGTCTTGATTACAACAAATTTCACATCTCCAGTATAAATATCAAATATTACTTCCATTCAGATACCCCTTTTCCGCATAGATGATATGAAATCTTATCCTGCAATCCGCTAACTATTGTACAAATAACAGGTACACAAATAAATGTTTGCTTTATTTGTACATGTACAAATAAAGGCCCCTGTTACCCGCTTCCATGTTGAGCAAGCGATAATATGGCTATTTCTTTCTGGGTAACAGTTCATTTTGGGGTCCTCTTTGCGGTCCGCGTTTCTACTATGTCGATTTCTTTGAAAAATCAGAGGAAAGGATTTGGATTTAAACAACTTACGCTCAAGTACCGGGTGTAAATTGCAGGATAAAAACAATACATGTACATTGTCGGAAATATAAAATGTATTTGTACTCGCTACGAAATAGGAGAAAAGCTCGGCTGTTTTTGTCGTTGGGTTGATGTCACAATGACGGGTACCGCATATCTTTAATCTCAAGTCATTAATAAGGTCTTTATAATCCATGAAATAAGTCTGCATTGCAAAAAGAAAAAAGTCGGTGACAACGTGATGAATTAAATTCACTGATTATTATTGTTTACTGGTATACTAATTTTACAAATATAAGAAGATGTGGTATGATTGCCATAAAGACAACAATCCATCAGAGACCAAATGACGAAGAAGAGAGGCGAAAGATCCCAAATTGACATTCAAACTCATAAGTCGAAAATAAGTGGACAACGCCATTGAAAAAAAAAACAACAGTAAAACACAGTATACAAAACACAACATAGAAGTCAAAAGACTGAGCAACAAGAACACCATCAAAAACCGGGTGTGGTATGAACTGCTCCAGAAGGGTAACCAGAACTTGCTTCAAATGTGGCAGTTGTCCTGATGCTCATACATGTAAGGTCAAACCCGATGAAATTAGCAAAATTTTTAACAATAATATAGCAGGATTTTCTAATTTTTCTTTAGGTATGATTATTTCACAAACAGGCTCATGGATGAGACCAGACTTTTTGTTGCTGCTATAGACTTTGGGACAACCTATTCCGGGTTTGCTTTTTCTGCCAGAGGGGACACGACCATTTACACATGCGACTGGAAAAACAACGACTTAACATCGATGAAAACACCGACATCGGTACTACTTGATAATGAACAGAAACTCAAAGCATTTGGGTATGATGCATACAACAAATATATATCAACTATTGTTCCTGACGAAGAAATGGATGAATACTATTATTTCCGGCGGTTTAAGATGACACTTCATAATGAGGTATACATTATACAAATATTCATTGACGTGTAAAATGATTTCTTGGATTAGTCAAGCATTTAAAACGGTCCAGCAAGTTGCATATTTGATAAAATACACGATTTAATTTGTCTCACGCTATTTCCCACAATGCTTTATTCGAAAATATATTTCTTCGAATAATTAAAGAATAAAGCCAAATTAACTTTATCAAAATGATACTTATTTACTATCGGCAAAGAAAAGAAAATTGATAATATAATACCGCTATCTATGTTTGTTATATTTACGGTCTCAAACGGCAACACATATGAATATTCATAGTTATTAACATTTTACCTATTTCATTAAAGTCAAATTAATAAACCAATTGCAAAAACCTTATGAATCTCAATTTTTTTTATTTCTTGATATCACTAGGTGCAGCTTGGCTGACGAAGACCCAGGATGACAAATTGTGAAACAATTTAAAATAGAAAACCAACAGTTTGATTTATGCGGAAAGCTTTTAGTTCACTAAAGTGTGTATTGTCCATTGTAACCGTTTGCTCCTTTATTTGTTCCTCCGTCAATCTGCACTTTGTATCTGCCTCTCCCAAAAATATATTCGGGATGTCAATGTAACTGTATCCCTGTTTTGTTTGGTGACAATTTGCGGTGAAGTTTCTTAAACAAAAATAAAAATGTAATTTTCAACTTTGTGCCGCCAATGCTATAATGTCGACCATACGAACAACTAAAAAATGAAAATAACATCTTATAAATTTTATGAGC